AGACCCTTTTCGCATCAGTTGCTTCCATGGTTGTTCGCTGCATCAAAGATGCTGTCATCAATGCGCCTCACTTGCCAGAAGCCGTGAGATCCTGGTCACGAACCTGTTACAATCTGGAGACAATGGGTCGCGACACATCATGGGGTAGAAAGCATATCCCTTTTCTGGGGTGAACCTGCTCGAGCTTCGTCATGGAGTTTGGGATCCATGACGTACACACCGGATCCAATGCAGGTACCAAGGCCCAAGACGTCGATCATGAAGTTACTGGATTGGGTAAACCGGGTCAAACCTCTACCCAGGCAGGCTAAATGCAGAACACTGGTAAATTACAGCGCGAAAGATATGTCTTTGTCAGCCTCAGGGTTGTTCAGCTCCCCAACACAAGACATGTTGCGGCAGGATTGTTGGCTTGCTTCAACAGAGCTGCTCATACGTCACACAAGAAATCCAACAAGATCGCGCTGACGAAATAGCGATGGTAGTTTGCTGATTGGCATGGCTAGGCCTCACCACCAATATCGACGTTTCTCTCAACAAGAGCTCTGGTGCCCGCAAGTGGTGTGGAGTCGCTATCGCCAGCGCCAACAGCCCCTCCGCTCCACCGGATCGATTGGCTGTCAGCGGATCTCAGCCCTTTTCGCCTTTTGCCATCGTCACACACAAGCGAAGATTTTCTAGAAGCCCCAGAGAATATTACATCGTTTACGCCTAGAGCTATTTGGCATCGCCGCGCAACAAGCTTTGTTATCCTTCCGGTGGCCATTAGAGACGAGTCTTCCGTATTCGGTACTCGCGAGGCTGGCGACGCGTTGACGCGCATGCGTGCAGGGTGTTGAATGTATCGATTGAGCTGATTCATGCGTCATTGTGCTCGCATTGGGCATGCAGTATGCACAAATCACACAATCGTATCCATTTCCTCATGAACAGCGTCACTCATGCGCAGCTGTCGACGCTGCAGCACATTCATGTCGGTAAATCCGACGGACGCTGACTTGCGAACGCATGCATGCATGAACCGAGTTTCACGTGCCAAACCTGCGCGGGCGCGCATGTGTGCGGTGCTTGCCGAGCTCCACCGACACGCAAGCAACGCAAGTTCACGAGCGCAGCCAGGGTTATTGTTTCAACGGAATCAAAATGGCAGGTACGTACCTGCATTGCTACCCAAAGCACTGTTACATCGGACGTGATATCTGCACGAGTCTGAATGAAGAGGAGTTTTTTCTTTTCTTTAGTTGGTTTTGCAAGTCACATTGTCATAATCCTTCCCCATCAAAGTAAAGCTCGCATGCAGAATCTCGAATCCTACTCGCTCTACAAGGATCAATATCTCCACCTGGGGGGCGTAAATCCTCGCATAGTTCCCGTTGTCTTTTGCTGTCACATGTCTGGCTGTACTCCGCAATTAGGGGTTGCAGATGCGCGGACGAGAACAGTTCTCAATCTCACCCGTACATTTCCGACAAAAAGGTCCACTATAAAGCGCACAACGAGTAGTTTCCGCGAGTCCAGAACTTCTCGGTTATTTCTGTACATGTGGATATGGCATGGAGATGAAATGCCATGTTCCATGTCCGCAGCTGACAGCGTCTGCGACCCACAACGGTGAATGCTCGGCTCGAGCCTCTCGAGTATCTGAGCCACAGCCATTTTTCACCGCCACGCAAGCGGTGGTTTGAGGGGCAACGTTACACCGGTATCAACTTACTCGCAACGAGTCTAGTTTATCTTTCGTTCGTTTACACTGCGATGGATGCTAGTGGGCTACTCCTTCCGGCATGGTAAGACAACGATAGTCTATCCTCGGAGGCTCGGCTCGGTTTCTCCAGTCCCAAGCGAGTAGAACCATAGCCCTACAAACCACCGATGCCAGCTAACCTCCGATGCTCTGCCTCCGGCTTACGCCTGCCTACGCTTAGACAACGTGTTCGGCGTATCGAAAAACAACGGCAACTACGCAAGTTTCCCAGCCTATCCCAATCCTCCCGAGAATAATCGCGCGCGCATGTGGCATGTACTCTCACGCCCTTCTAGACTCTGCATTAGCGCCGCTTCGAGAAGAAGCATCACCCTCGCATAACGCAGACTGGATACATACAACCACCAACACGACTACCTCCGCGCCGCTAGTTCACCGGCCGGGAATATCGAAGTCTGTAACCTAAGCCCATCGCGAACCACCGTTGCCATCGCTGTCTCATCTCGACTCTGAAGTGGCTGGACTGTGGATACAGCAAAGTCTTTGCTTCGGGGTCTTGTGCGATGGCACGCTATCGAACGATAGCTGGTGTATGAACTCTGCCCGTGCCGACTCCGAACGAATGATAGGTGAGACGATGGGAACTGGCACTACTGGATATTGGATATGGAGGCGGCTGCAATCGGGGGTCGGAGGAAGGTGTTGAGGCTCTGCGGGTACGTGCATGACCGCCGATGTGGGTCCTATCGGTGTCGCGAATGAGCATTGGAGTGTTCGCTTGGGTGGTGCGTAGGGTTTTGGGTGTAGTGCTGACGGCCAGCTGTGAACTGTTGAGGTATTGTATTTTTTGACAATGAGCGTGGGGTTTTTTGTTACACGCAGGGGTAAGACAGCGATAGCGAAGGTGGCATGTGTTGTGATGGATTGTGTATCTGTGCCTGAGGCTAGGTGTAGAAGGTGTGTAAGTGGGGTGTAGGTATTACTACCTCTGCTTTCTGTCCGCGCGTAGTAGTCATTCGTAGCATTGTGATGTGTATGCCATGTGTTCGCATACAAACATAGTAGTCGTTCCATGCTGGAAACCCATCCTCAAGTGTAGCCGTATATCGGCCGAAAGAGAAAAAACTTCAACCTACCTTTACCACGCCCAACTTGAACACCTCACACCAGACGCTACAAGCCTCCTGTGCCCGTACTGCTTTATTCCAGCCTCTACAACAGTCAATCAGTACACGTTAATTTTCCCGAAGCCAATATATCAGCCCGGCTAGCTCAATCGGTAGAGCGTGAGACTCTTAGCTTTCACGTCCTAACTAGACTCGATTGGTTCATCTCAAGGTTGTGGGTTCGACCCCCACGTCGGGCTTGAGCTCTTTGCACATGCGTCTTGGATGTGTAAAGTATTTTTTTGGCGGTTGAGTGTGATGGTGTTGTGATTTTGATGTTTTTTTGGGCTTGGGTGAATGCCCAGGAACGAAGCGAGAGAAAGATGTCAAGAAGCAGCGGGGAAATAATAGAACACTAGAGCATGTGTGACTGCTGTATAGAAGAAGTAGAGAGAAGAAAGCGGATAGATATGCTGGTTGCTGGGTTTGGTTCATGATGCGGCATGCATAGCACTGTCTACTTCGTGCGCCGACTACGAGCACCGACAAGTATAGGAAGACCACTCGATACTACGCGCTTCCATGAGTTTGCTCTCGCAGTGTAGTATGTAGCGAATATCAAGAAAACGAATCTCGCGTCACTCGATCGGGCGTTGGAATAGTAAACCTCGCCAGAATCGACAACATCTATAAGATCGCGCTATGTTATGTCCCCTTGTATTGGGATTCGTCAAAGGTTTTATACTGTTTTCGTACGTGATTCAAGTTCTCTGCGCGTATTCTTTTGTTACTTGCAGCTTAAGGACCTTCACTGCGTTGGAACGCATGTAGCAAACACAATCCCCTTGGAACTTTTCGCGAGTCCATGTGTGAGCCGCCTACTTCGTCTTCTGATCGCACAACACGAAGTGGGCGATATCTTGTAGCAATCCAAGTACTGCGCGAAGGAACTTCCAGCGAACAAGTTCAGTTCAAGTCTAGGGTTTTTAGTGAGCACTCACGACAGAATAGCGTTGTGTAGAAGGATGGATATTCTTCTACTCTATCTACTATCTACACCGATACCACAACTTCCTCCCTCCCTTCGACCCATCTACCACCTCCATCCATACCCAACCCCCCTCTCACCCACCCCATCCACAAATCACTCCATGTCACAATGCCCTCCCACCCACCCCATATTCCCTCAAGTACATGTCATCACGACTGGCTACCGTTCCCAAGTGGGTGGGACAGATCAGCCAAGATGCGTGAATCCATGTCTTGTCAATCATGCCAACGTTGCTCATTTCTCCGAGTGTGCGAAAGAATGAGCTGGATGGTCATGAAAGCTTCTCCGCCTCCCTCCCACCCTCAGCAATGGATCAACAACCTCCTGCGAGAAGACACCTTCTCGCAGCTTCTCGCGACTGACGTAGCCGTCAGTAGCCCAAAAACAGATGAAACGCCGACGCTCCCAAGTGTGTGGAATTGTCAGCCAAGGGATCCGTAGATTCTTGTCTCAGTCAAACCACGCAAACCGGCGTAGCACTGCCGTAGCAGCTTTTGCGTACGCCCCGAGTGTGCAATCGTATGAGCTGAGAGATTCAAAACAGCTTCTCCGTGGATAAGCGACACCCATAAGGATGTGTAGGTATGGGTTCCGATGAAAGTGTGTCCATTGAACCCCGTAAGGTCGCAAAGCTTGTCCCTAAGGCCAAGCGACCGCGTGGTGACGGTATGACCTTGAACCACCTCACTCTCCCACGTCAGCGCGAGAGAGCGAGGAGTAAAACCGCAATTGAGTCGTCTATGCGAACAAGAGCGACGATTGCGGTTTTGAGTTCAAGGTAAGGAAAAAGAGAAGAGGTGCGAGGGAGGGCGCGAGCGGGATTATATAGGCAGTGTGGGTGCGCGGCGGGGGATTGATCCGGCGCCGAGGCTGAGTAATGGGTGGCGATGACGCGGTTTGGAAAGGCCTAGAAGGGCGTGATTGTTCTGTTTGCGGAAGGAGCGTGAATTTGGGGTCACTGGCGTGGTGAAGGTGAGTGACCGGGCAACGCGGCGACGCGCCGACAACAGCGCGCACAGGGGATCTTCAGGTTCGTTCAATTCCAGGTAGGAGACGACAACAACATCATATAGTACAAGGAAATAACATTTGGTATGTGTAGCCGTCCGGCTGCCCTTTTGGGTGTTATGTACTTCGTCTAATCAGGCCTTATAGCCTCCAGCTTATCCTCCCATATTCGAGAAGTAAGCTCATCCCTTCGCATTTCGAGCGGCCTCATATTAGAGAACACTACCGATACCCTACACTCCCTATCTAGTAGATCTTGAATCTTCGGAAACATCTCCTTCAGATCCGTTAGTACAAATCGCCTGTAATTGTCGTGATACGTGGGAAGTGACGTAAAAGCTGCATCAAAGTCAAATATGACACGCGTTAGCTTGGGCAGATCTTTGAGATTATCGAGATCGCCGGTCTTGATGTTATGTGCTATTTCTTCTCCCCTGTATATAGAGAGGACGCTCTCCGTTGTTGTGATCCTGATGATTTTTATCTTGCGCACCCACTCTCGCGGTGGTGCGCCGTAGCCGAAGCGCGGATCGTTGAGGAAGTCAGGGACGAGACGACATTTGACGAAGGAGAATGTTGTATTGCGGTACCAGGCCTCGATAAACTCGGAATAGAAGAGCTTGCCGGAGTACTCACGATCCCAGAGGTGCTCGTAGGCAATGCTGGTGCGATTTGTGAACCCTGCGGGGATCATGGGCGTGACACCGATTTCGGAACAAAAGAGGAAAGATTTCAGTACCTCCTTATCAATCCTCACGATCGACTCCCCGATGATGTATTGGTATATCATGTCGCGAAGCTCGCGGGGTAGTTTGTCGCAGACCATAGTGCAGATAGGGAGACATTGCGCCGCTGCATAGCGCCTCATACGGCGATCGATCTCAGTAGCGATATTACGGGCTTCTTCCTGTAGTCTGAACATCCGTTGGTATCGACCGGGTCCATGAGAAGGCTCCTTGACTGGACAACTGTTGCGTAGACAGAAAATCCGATTCTCGGCGTTCAGTTCTCCAACGCGCGCGTCTATAATCTTCTTAAGGACTTTCAGCTTCTTTAACTCGCTGTTGGAGGTCAGCTATTGTTCTTTCTCAACCAAATGGCGCGTACGTTTGAAGATACTGCCGATCTTCGTCGACAGTGGCTGACACAATAGTCACGCGAGCGACATTGGTATTTGTATAATTCAACATAGCCGGCGCCTGTTTGGAGTACCTATTGGAAAACTGTTAGCCACCGCCTGTAAGCTGCTCATGTTTGATGACCTTACCCTTCCGCGGTAGAGAGAAGTCGCGTGTCGCTGGGAACTTGAGTTCGCGTCGCTCCTGAGACACTGTTATCGATGTTCACTGACATGATGTTACACTGTCAACTTGAGTGTGGATTTGGAGAAGTGATAAAGAGTGCAGGTGGTAAATGGTACTGCGGGTCTGCTAGGTATCCGTGAAGAAGTACAAGCGGAAAACGCTCGTGATGCCTAGCGGTGACACTTGCGCACAGCTTTCATTCCATGTCCTACCATCCCCTCCGACGCATTGATGCAAGAGCTTTTCGTTCGATTTCCTGCAAGGAAGCCTGAGCGCGTGGCGACTCGATCGCCTCATGGAACTTCTTGGACCATTCTTCTACGGTAGTCTCCTCCGGTACCACCACGAACTTCAAGTTCAACTCAGCTCGAACTATGAGTTTGAACCGCAAACGATGCAGTGACAGCAACGCTGGAAACATGTATGCGGCGTGTTGAGCGCATGCCTGCGCATCATGACCGTCATACATGTTTTCAACGAGATTCTCCAATATAATTGTTACGATCGGGCACATCCTGTGGAAATGCCTGAGCAACTCAAGTCTCTCCGCGAAGCATTCCTGATCAAACGTTTCGCCACCGATCCGTACTTTGATCTCAAACCTCTTGATGAATCCGGCCGGGTTCAGATTGGTGGACCATCGCAATCTTCTGAGAGATCTGCAAATGAATTTGGGATGGATAACAAGGAAGGTCGCATTTCGATACCACGCTTTAACCAGTTCGAGCCTGATTGGGTCGTCTTGAGTGAGATAGCCGGGTGTCAGTAGCCAGGTGTCAGACCGGCACTTTAGATTAGCTTTGCTAATACCTTTAATGCTCTCGTGTCCGCTGACTTCATGGTCTTCGTCTAATTCGACTCGTTGGCCTTGGAAGACGAACCCGTATATCGTGTCGCGGAGTTCTTGACATAATCGCTTGCGTACTTCCTCGAGCAACGCACGGCAGCGCGGCGCTTCGTAAGACCTGATGCAAGTGTCGACTTCGCATTTCGTTTTCTGGATGATGCTCTTAGCGATGCCGTTTGTTTTTCCAAAGGCTGTTTGCTGTTCAGTGGTCAAGAGCGCAGGCACGTCTGCGTCGTCTTCCAAGAGCCGGACAGCGTATGAAAGCCTTTTAGCGTTTTCCAGCCGGAACGATGCTCTGCCCGTTGTCAATGACTATCTCGATCGCAACGGAAGCGTATTACATACTCTTTAAGGTAAATGTTCATCTCAAAATCAGAATCGTGATCATCATTCCATCTGATGGGGCTCCAGTATACTGATGGATATATCTGGGCTCTTTTCGCTCGTTAGCTATCAAAATTTAGAGGACTGTTATTGCTACTCACAGTTGCGCCATCTTGTGACACGCAGTATAGTCAATTCCCGAGATGTATTGCTGATTATAGAAACGAGGAAATCTGTGTGTTCAAAGCTCGATACACAAAAACATGGGGGAAGTGCGAAGTTAAGTAGCAAAGGTGACGCATCCAAGCTCTTTCGGCTTAGCGTCCGACGTGACCGTGGTATACTTTGGTTGTTAAGATGAGATTTCATTGAGAACCATGGTTGCGATACACTAGAGTCAAGGCTTACATTCGATACGTGATGGCGTCCGATGGCCCATAGCACCAGCATGCGACGCATCTAATTAACAATTTTCCAGTCAGTGCCGTTTCTTTTTGAGCGAGTCGTGCAATACAAGGTCTACGTTGCTCGCGGCTGTTCCAAATCTTATCCTTCTGATTCGTCCATATCATCCTCTTGTGACCCGTCTGACTCATCCTCGTGTGATTCATCCGAATCATCCTCTTGCAGATCACCTGAAAAGTAGTGCTGTGAGCTATCCGAGATATACTTCTGTGACGCATCTTCCATCTTGTCCTGCATGTCGTCCCAGTCCGGATAATGTCCACTATACTCCTCTTTCCAGAACTTTATGCGAGCCTCTTCAACAGCCGCTTCGAATTTCTTTGTCCACCCTTCCACAGTAGTTTCTTCAGGCTCAACTAGAAATTCCAGGCCCCTTTCAGAACGCACTGTCACCTTGAATCCCCTACTTCTCAAGTCAACCAAGTCTGGGAAGAGATACGCTGCACTCTGCGCATGCCCTCTCAATGGTAAAACTTGTGCGTCTCTGAAATTTGGGTAGTCAATGAGAAAGGGCACGCAGATCGTGATCTTTGTATGCTCTTTGTCGAGGAGGAGGAGTGACTTAAACCGTTCCAGGTAACCGGTGTGATCGACATTATCGGATTCAAGAAGTATCACCAAGGTGACGTGGTGTAGTAAGCTGAGCGGCTGTAATCCAGTGCTCCACGGAAACTGGAGGAGAAAAGACTCCATGATGGAGGGATCCATAATCCCAAACTTTGTAGTTTCAAACCACGCTCTAGCCAAATCTTCCCTGACTTTAGCGTCATCAACGAAGTAATCGGGCTCCAGAAGATAGCGGTAAGGGATACGCGTTGTAGTTCCCGGTTCGAGGTAGAGATAAAAGTTGCACTCGAACTTTTCGTCCTCCTCCGCCAATAGACGAACAGCTGAGTCCTGGAAAATGAAGCCATATATCATATCGCGGAGCTCCTGCGGAAGGGGTTTCACTTTCTGCAATATCTGATTGCATGGGAAAGCTTCATGCTTTACGATCTGCTCGTCAACATCGGCTCTGAGTCGACGGATTGCGTTCATAATGCTGCAAGCAGCCGCGTGATAGGCGGCCAATTCCTCCTTTTTCGCTTCGTTTAATACTGTCCGATTGTGCTTGTGGGTAAAACGATGGAGAGATCTCAACTGTTTCAGTAAGATCTGGAGCCGTCTTGATTCGCTACTTGATGTTAACATTGCCAGATCACAACGAAACGCTACCACTTACTCGACGATACTGAGATAATAACCGCGCCTAGCAGGACCGACATCGTCATAATCGGGAATCTCCGGCGTTCCTGATCGACGCCTTGTCGTCTGTTAGTTACTGAGATCTCCAGAACTACCATAGCTACTTACTGTAGTGCCATCGTGTGCTACGCACTATATTTGGTTCTTGAGTTGTGGTGTGTCGCTATTCCCAGGACTGGAGATGTCTGCAGATATAATTTTGATGAAAAAAATATATCGGGCGAGACTGCGAGCTTAAGTAGCAAGAACGAGGCAGCCAACCCCGTTCGCATAGTCGAGTTGGGGTTCCGAAATTACCATTCACGGCGTCGTCTTGTACCCTTGATCTGATTTCACCACCTCTATCCTATGGTAACTGCAACGGCTCAGGAACGGCTCGCCACTTACACCTTCCGCAGTATATGCGACTCAGATCTTGAAAGACGCTCTCGGGTTAGGACTGTCGCAACTGCACGGGCCACGGCAGAACCTGCCGGACCCAGAATTTGTTCATGGATGTCTGGCGATGTGAAAAACAGTACTACGCAACTCAAGCAATTTGGCGCATGCGATCTCGAATAAATGTTCAATGTATTGAAAATTGCAAATCTTACAAGTCAAGCTGCGTACCTAGATGGCCAACACTAGTCCATCAATACTCCATCGCATCCTCAAACAATCCCCGCAACTGCTCCCTTTCTGCATCAATATTCTGCATTTCCAAACTTGGGGCCAGCATCAGCACTCTTGCTTGCGGAATGGTACCCTCAACCAGCTGATCCAGATGTTCCTTTCCGAACCCGAGCGCCTTCAACCCACGTGGCTGGTCACCAAGCTTAACCAAGAACTCCGCGAGCGCCTCGCTGAGTACTTCTCCCGCGCTCTCTGCTTTGACGTTCGAGATATCGACACCGAATGCTTCGGCCGCAGCCAAATGCCGCTCTGGGTTCGATGCGCCGGTGAACTTGAAGACTGCGGGTGCGGTCACTGCGACACTGACACCGTGGGGGATAATGGTGTGGTCAACGTCATAGCCTGAGTGCTTGTATCCCGGGTTCTGGCCCGAGATGGGGTACGACATGCCGTGGCAGAGATGCACACCTGCGTTACCGAAACCTACACCAGCGAGGGTTGCGGCAAGCAACATCTGCGACTGAGCCTCGTGGTCATCGGGATCCTTCACTGCGCGAGGCAGATACTTGACTGTGTCTTTCAGGGCCTTGAGAGAGAAGATGTCAGAGATTGGGTTTGCGCCTTGGTAGGCCGGACGGTTGAGGGGGTTGGTCGGTCGTGGAGTGCGCTCGTAGTATGGGATTGCGGTCCACGATTCCAGAGAGTGGCACAACACGTCGAGACCTGAAGATGCGTGCACAGCGGAGGGCATGGTACGTGTGTTCAGTGGGTCCACTATGCCCAAAGTGGGCTTCAGGTTGCGATGCGCGATACCAGTCTTCGCTCGCTTGGAAACCAGATCGAAGATAGCAGTACCAGTCGTTTCAGAGCCGGTTCCTGCAGTCGTTGGTACAGCGATGAGCGGGAAGAGCTTCGACGGAATTGGCATGCCTTTGCCCAATGGCGCGTTGACGAAGTCTAGGAACTCTGCGTCGGGGAAGGTTGTGTACAAGTTCATCAGCTTGGCTGTGTCAATGACACTACCACCGCCAACAGCTAGGTACGCGTCTGGTTTCCATGGCTTCGCGAAGTTGATGGCCTCCATTATGCTGTGGTCCTTTGGCTCTACTCTGACCTTGTCAAAGATCTCGTATGTCACACCTTCTCGCTCCAGACCTTCAATGACCTGCTTCATCGCGTCTAGTTTCCTCACGTTTGGGTCTGTGACGACCATGACGCGCTTACTGCCCATGTTCTTGAAGTCCATGCCAACTTCCTTTGTACATCCCGGCCCAAATCTTATGCTCGATGCCGCCATCTCAAACGCATATTCCTTTTGTTGGGAATGATCGAGGGGTGTTGCGAGATGTCGTCGCGCTTGCTGAACGGTGGACGGCGATTGGTGGTAGTTGGGGTTCGAATGGCAGGGGCATGATGGAGGATGTGTGTATTGTACGGTTCGAAGGAGATTGAGGGCGCGAGCTGCGCGCGATGGCGCAATGCGAATTGCTGTTGATATAACCATCGTGAGCAACGGTTGTTGTTGTCGCGGTGTTCGGTCGTGTGGAGAAATGCGGGGAGGCGCGTGCCGAATCCTATAGGTAGCACGTTATTGTGATAACAACACAGATTTGTTTTGACTGTGTTTCTGATCTGAGAATGTAATGCCTATATGTACAGCCTAATTTGTCAAAGAGCAGTGTGTGGGGATGAAGCCGTTCTCCAATGCCATGCTTCCCACATCCCAGCTCGACCTCGGATGACAGCTGAATTTAGCCGCATTCGGTATGCCGAGATGTGGGGTAAGCGGTTGCCGCCTCCAATTCACATCGGAGATACGTCCTGTTCCCCAGTTTTTGCTATACAAAGCCTCCAACGCGTCTGCGGCGCTCATGCCGACCGGAGGTTCAACGTAGACGAACGGATATTGAAGGGTCGCAGTATGGGTCGGTCCGACGTCATCGTTGTCCCTTGACAACTGTCCGAGACCGTTCATCCCGGCCACAACACATCACCAACTCCATAACACTTTTGCTAACTTGATCGCTGGACATTATCTAGTTTGGAAAGGCAATGGCCGAAGAGAAGCTCCTACTGCAGCACATTTCTGGAACACAAAACCCAACCGGAATCCTGCCCACGTGAGGTCTCATTGAGGCACAGCGACGAAGACGGACTTTTGCAACTCGTCACTGTGCCTAGTTCGCGAGAAACCCCATAGTGACTGGTTCGGACGTTGCGAAGCAGAAGAGAACGGGGTTGCGCCATTCAGTTGACCTCAGGCGGCAGATCCAGAACCGTTGCTGCCCTCACCGCGGAGACATCCAGGAATACACTGAGTGGATTCACAAGATGGGGAACGATGTCAAGACTCTCCCTGCAGACATACCGATTAACTCCCAATATTAGCATGCTTCATGGGTGCAAGCTGATCTACTCGCAACGTAGTGTTGTACCCATTCCAGACACCTGGGATTCATACCACACAGCCCCGTCCAGATCATCCAAATCGAGGAGAGAAAATGGAGATACTGGGGCTGTCACCCTCAGACTCCATGATACCAATCAACTCGCGGGACGGCTCACCTGATAAATGCACCACACAAGTCATGTTGGAACGTAACTATTCAGAACTCCCTGTTCTACTCACACCATAAACCCTCGCTATTATCTGCTCGGACGTTGCAGCATTCATGCTGGTTAGTACAGGTTGTTACGATGCAGCTTTGTAGTAAGCACATATGATCAAATTGGGCAGTCACCGGATTCTGAACGATAAGGGTGGCTACAAGTCGAGTCGCACTCTGCAATTGCAAAAACATCATCTGGGTGGAGGTACACGTTACCTAGGTTCCATGGAAACTCTTTGGCCGCTAGTATTTATTAGCATGTTTACAGTAGAATGCGACGCGAATTCTGACATAACCACAGGCGTCAATCTCAGCTCGTGGTAGGTTTCAACCTGATTAGACACTGGCAACAGGCAGGCTGTCATAGAAGTTGACAGCATGACAAATAAGCACCGCTCATGGAGACCACCAAAGTCTGATTTTCTCTACACCTTTCGACAGGGGTAACTCACAACCTTGGAATTTACCTGCCTGACCTGAACATCGACCTAGCGCAATGTTGTGCTCGTTGAAAGTCCTCGGAGCCTCTGCCGCTCCTCGGTGCTAATGTGGGGGTACTATGGCGTTGGGCGGAGACCCTGACAACCCTCTCACACTCGGGCGCAATGGCATGAAGCCACGATACGTCAACGACCTTGAATGTAACCATGTGGTCAGGGTCTGTCCCGCGATCACCCCTAGGATCGTGGCGCAGCAGCAGTGCAAACCCATTTCCTGGCGTAGATCCCGCGTGGATCTAGACTAAAGCTGCGAGCGTTGACGTCACAGGGCCAGCCAAACACCTCATGGCACCCTGCTTCTCCGGCATGTGTGAGTGTCGATCTAGATGCGCCCCCGGAGCTTTGAATCAAACTTAAACCCCTCCCTGGACCCTGATTTTTACCCTGGAAAATAATCCTACTGAACCAGATATCTCTATTATTATAAAAGTCCACCGTGCAGCATACGACACGGGCTCATTTCCGGAAGAACGCGAACCCCGCCTTCACCAACCAAATCTCGCTAGCCGCGTCTTCGAGCTTCACAGCAACAACAACGTTACCTCCTACACGTGCGAAGACACGTTCCACGACTGCACCTTGTTTCTCCAGTACCACGACACACCTGCAATATGTCTGCGCCTACCTCTGCCACGAGTGAGATGCCCACGCGCAGCCTCACCAACCGATCTGCCGACGACGATGCCATCCCAGGAGAGGACACCTCAGAGGTGAGTAGTTTGGATATCGATGAGAGGAAAGCTCCTAACATGTTTCAGGTCACGAAGCTCTTTGCGGAGCGATTGCAAGCTTGGAAGCACGCCGTCGCCTACCTCGAGGATTATGTCACAGCCACGGAGAAGACTAACCACGCACACGGCAAGGAGTATGAGCGCGTCTTGAAGGTTGGTCGACTCAATGCGATAGCTATATAGCTACTGACGTTGAACAGACGGTCAAGGATCCCCTGAAGGAGGGCCACCACTTCGATCAGTCGCTCGGTGGTATTGCGGGCATGTTCGAGAACATCAGGTCCAACACCCAGGTACGATATCCTCTACATCATATACCAATGTTATGACTAACCATGGCAGGGCATTTCCAACCAACACTACGAGACGGCAAAGCAGCTCAAGGGCGCCGTCCTCCCCATCTTCGACCGCCTCCACACCGAGATCAAGAACAAGAGCAAGGAGCTCACCAAGGGAGCTGGCAAGGGCAGTAAGGCTATCGACAAGGCTCGCCTGCACACCCAGAAGCAGATTGAGCTTCTCGGCCAGCACACCGCAGTCTTCGACTCGCACAGCGGCAACATGAAAGCCACCGACGATCCCTACATCCTCCAGCGCGGCGTCAACCACCGCCTGCACAAGCAAGTCCAGGAGGAGAACAACAACCGCCAGGACTTGATCAGCGTGCAGAACTCGTTCGCCCAGTTCGAAGCCCACATCATCCAGACCATCCAGAGCGGCATGGGCCAGTTCCTGCAAGTCGTCAACACCCAAGCCGAGCACACCAAAGCCGCATACGGCGACATGGTCGGCACATCGCAGCGCATCCCCCAAGACTTCGAATGGAACGGCTTCATCCAGCGCAACAACACCGTCCTGATCGACCCCGCCGCGCCTGCCCGCACCCTCTCCGACATCAGTTTCCCCAACCAAAACCACCGCGCGACGCAGCCCCTCATCTCGGGCTCGCTCGAAAAAAAGGGCAAGATCATGCGCTCCTACGACACAAACTACTACGTCGTAACCCCTTCCAAGTTCCTCCACGAGTTCAAGACAGACGACGACTTTGCTAAGGACCCAGTCCCCGAACTGTCGCTCTACATCCCTGATTGTATGATCGGTGCGGTGAATGGACAGAAGTTTAATGTAAAGGGCAAGGATGTGTCCAAGGGGAAGATCGGCGGTGCGTTCTCCATGACACACGAGTTTGCGTTCAAGGCACACACGCCACAGGCTGCGGAGCAGTGGTGGCAGGTCATCAGCGGCGCAGCGGGTAAGGTCACGAACGACGTTCCCACCAGCCCTGTTTCTGGCGACACTAGCCCGCAGAACATGTATCCGGAAGAGAAGACGCAGCCTGCTCCTATCCAAACTACGGGTCTGGAGGGTGCTGGTACGAACTCGACTGACCATGCTGTGAGCGGTGGTGCTAGTGCGCCTGCGAGTGCGGTGCCTGGTAGTGCGACGACGGCACCGGGGAGTGCGGTTCCGGGCGAGCCGGGGAAATACTAGTGGAAAAGTCTCATGATCGCTACGTGTACGTCTGATGAGGATGTGGATGTTGGGTCGAAGGTGACGCTATGGTAGGTGTGCGTTGATGTTGATGGAGCGGCGGTGAAGTGGGCTGGCGATGGTTGTTTGGATGTGGATGTGGATATATATACATACCCCTTTTTGCTTTGAATAGTACTAATACATGATAATGCTTTTGTAATCTCCATCTATCTTATTGTAACATGATATGGAGTGGAGTGGTGTAGAGTGATCAATCGAACATCTGCCTCACATTCAGATTAACCCGTTTATTCGCCATCCACCCCCTCCACGCTTCATACTCTCCTCCCCCATTGTCGCCATTGTCTTCTTCCCCCTCTGCTGACGACGCGGGCCAGTCTTGAAGATACTCAGGACACGTCCCTGCCACTATCGCCGGTACCCCATGCCACGCAAACCTCGAGTCCCCACTCATGTACACTGCACTGCCTGATCTCAGTCTTAGCGTGACGATCTTCTCCTCATCCTCTCCTCCTTCTGTCTTCACCGTAGTGCCTAAGACGAAAATCGCATCACACCCCAAACTCACGCTAACAAGTCCCGTACTACTCGTTTCAGCGACGTCGCGATGCACACTCAGTGTATCGCCTGGAGAATACAGATTCACGATCGCGGCTTCCGCTTTCGTTTGCGGGAACAGCGCTTCTAGTAACGACTTTATTTGCGGAGGAAAGGGTGGAGGCGGTGTATCTGGATATCTTTTTGCGGTCCAGTCGTATTGGCCACCTAGGGTTGTCCAGCGTAGCTTTTTGTTGAGGAGTTGGGAGATGGATAGTGATTTGTGGATGCTGGGGGAGAGGGGGGTAGCGATGGGAGTGGGGGAGTGCGGGGGGAGGGAGAAGAACGAGGAGTGAGAGGGAGGGTAGGAGAGGGTGTAGTGGGTGTGTATGTTTGTGAGGTGCGTGGGGGAGGAGAGGGACGTGTGAAGGAGGGTTGATAGGAGGGTGATTTGGGTGGGGAGGGGGAGGAGGGAGGGGGTTATGTGGAGGCCTGGGGGAGGTGTTAGGAGTTGAGGTATGGAGGTATGAGATGACAAAACAAAAAAATGCAAATTCAGAATATCAAGCGTGGAATAGTTCATTTATTCAAAACACGGGAGACGTCCTACCTGGCATATCCTCGTGTTCATACACTGGTATCGATCTTGGCAAGTCCGTGGCTTGCAGTCTCTCCCCGCCGTCTTCACCGGCGAAAGAACGGAAAATGGCGGTCAGGTCTTCTGCGGTGTATTCCTTTACTACGCGCACTTTGGGGTTTGATGACGCGGCGACGTCGCTCGAGAGATCGATGATGTCGCCATCTAGATCTATGTCTTTTGCTTTCATTTTTTGGTACTTTTTGTAGACGTTGCGTATGCTGTCTGGAGGGCGTTCATGGGGGTCTAGGTGGTGCATTTTGCGTGTGGGTTCGACAGCAGAAAGATTTGGGAAAGTGAGGATGTATGTGTAGATGTAAATGTAGATGTATGAAGCAGCACGTCTAGTGATGATGGGAACCTTGGGATGTAACCCTGGAGAACGTGGGAGGTATTGTTGACTAAGCTCGCGTTTGTGGCTGACGGGTGCGCGTTGCCCGATGCGTCAAGGGTGTTTACATCTCGAATTTCCTAACACCAGACACCCTCGTCCCCTGCTCCCCGCTGCACCTTCCTCTCTGCCCGCACGTACTAACCACAGGTACACACGAGAGGCATCCCATACCCTCGCCTCACCTCGAACCGGGAATAATACAGACTCGCGGCGAAACTGCATCTCCCGCGATCCACCTAAACACGCTTGACCGCTTGTCGTCTGAAGCAATCGCAGTCCCCAGCCCGCCACCATGGAGAACTACCAGAAGTTGGAGAAGGTCGGAGAGGGTACGCCATTCCTTGATGGCTTAATACGCCTCTACTCACATGATCCCAGGAACCTACGGAGTCGTCTACAAAGCGCGCGACCTCACCACCAAAGACCAGCGCATCGTGGCCCTCAAGAAGATCCGCCTCGAAGCCGAAGATGAAGGCGTCCCGTCGACGGCCATCCGCGAGATCTCACTCCTCAAAGAGATGAACGACCCCAACATCGTGCGCCTCCTCAACATCGTACACGCCGACGGCCACAAGCTCTACCTCGTCTTCGAGTTCCTGGATCTGGATCTGAAGAAGTACATGGAGGCGTTGCCGGTTAGCCAGGGTGGACGGGGCAAGGCGCTGCCGGAGGGATCTGGGCTGGCGGGACAGAGCCTGAGCATGGACGATAAGATGGTCAAGAAGTTTATGATGCAGCTGTGTCAGGGCGTGCGGTATTGCCATGCTCATCGCGTGCTGCATCGTGATCTGAAGCCGCAGAACTTGCTCATCGACAAGGACTGCAATCTCAAGTTGGCGGATTTCGGTCTGGCGCGTGCGTTTGGTGTTCCGCTGCGAACATACACCCACGAGGTATGGATACTGCATATGTGATTTGGGATTGTCTGACATATCCTAGGTCGTCACGCTATGGTACCGCGCTCCGGAGATTCTTCTTGGTGGTCGCCAATACTCAACTGGTGTCGACATGTGGTCTGTTGGCTGCATCTTTGCCGAGATGTGCACGCGCAAGCCTCTGTTCCCTGGTGATTCGGAAATTGACGAGATCTTCAAGATCTTCCGGTATGCACTCTCACCCTATACTATCTCCACATACTAATCATGTCTAGTATCCTCGGCACACCCAACGAGCAAGACTGGCCCGGCGTCACCTCCTTCCCCGACTTCAAGCCCTCGTTCCCCAAGTGGGGCCGGACAGACGTCGCGAACATAGTCACCAACCTCGACGAAGTTGGCCTTGACCTCCTCGATGCGCTGCTTGTCTACGACCCCGCTGGCCGCATCTCAGCAAAGCAGACGGTCATCCACCCATACTTTGGCGGAATGAACGGTGACACACGACACGAATACAGCAACGGCTACCACTAGCCTGTCCCAGGAGGATGCTACGACTGTTACGCTTTGAGTGGTCTGCAGGATTGGTGAGCAATACGAGACGTTAGTGTCTAGGAGCTTTCCTGCTTTGTTCTGGTTACAGGGATTGGGGCTGTGTCTTTATCGGACAGCAAATGGCGTTCTGGTTAGGGTATGCTACTGAGTACATGCATGCAATACTACATACAACTACACAGACATCAGGTGTTGAATGTGAGCCTTGGCTTCAGTGTACTATTACTAATACTGCGTTCATTCCAGCGCGTTCTGACCTCAAGATTTGAGTATGCAGGCTGTCCTTTTTCCACGAAGTGGAACTGTGGTTGACAGTGCTTCAGTGTATCGCAACCATGGATCTCAGTAAAATCGCATCGTGACAACCAAAGTACACCACAGCCATGTCCTGCTGATGCCAGGAGGGATGGAATATAAAACTTTGCACTTGTGCCTCGTTCCTCAATACTACATACAACTACACCGCCATTATGAATTTCCTGTGCTGGCTCGCGATGCTGCCCCTAGCGGCGATGATGCCCCTGGCATCTCTGAATGACGTAGCGCGCCTGCCCCACCTCAGCCCTACGGACCTGCAGGAACGCGTCCACGTACCAGGTCTCCACGGGAGGTCTGCTCACCACGCTTCCTCCACTGACTCAGCAATGACTCCCAATGCGAAACTCCTTCCGCCATCCACCGGCCCCCGTCTCATCGTCTACCACCAGACTTTCCACGACTCAAACGGCACTTACCACTCGTTGCTTCCGCTGCTCACAAACAACACGGGCATCACGCATGTGATTGTCGCGGCTATCCATCTTAATGATGGACCTGGGAATATTACGCTGAATGATCACAAGCCGGATGATAAGAGGTTTGATCAGTTATGGGGCGAGGTGAATTGGTTGCAGGGTAGTGGGGTCAAGGTGTTGGGTATGCTGGGTGGAGCAGCGAAGGGGAGTTACGAGAAGTTGAGCGGAGATGAAGAGAGTGTATGTTCACCACCCCCATCCCATCATCCCTTAGGACCATAAAGCTAATGAATCCCCACAGTTCGAAGCATACTACACCCCCCTCGCCGCCCTAATAACCGCCCGCTCCCTCTCCGGCCTCGACCTCGACATCGAAGAAACCATCCCCCTCTCCACCACCACCCGCCTCATCTCGCGCCTTCGAGCAGACTTCGGCCCCGACTTCCTCATCACCCTCGCCCCCGTCGCCACAGCCCTAATCCCCGACCCCAAAATCCCCGCACACCTCCGCCCGCCCCGACCCATGCTCGCCAGCGGCCCCACTCCCAACCCCTTACACCCCACGCTGCGCCATCTATCCGGCTTCAGCTACCCGGAGCTCGAATGCAGCGTCTGGGGGAAAGAAATAGCATGGTACAACACGCAGTTCTACTGCGGATGGGGCGACGCGTTTACAACGGCATGGTACGATACCATCATCGCCGCGGGCTGGAAACCAGAAAAGATTGTCATGGGCGTGGTGACGAATGAGGCGAATGGCAGTGGATATGTGGATGTGGGACGGCTGGCGGTGGTTGCACAGCAGTTACGGCAGAGTTATTATAAAATGGGAAGGGGGTTTGGGGGGATGATGGGATGGGAGTATTTTAATGCGGGGGATTGTGATGATGATGTCGAATACATCACCGACCGCGATCTCAATACCGAGACTGTGCAGGCGGGGTGGGTTAAAGCGCTAGGATTGTCTCTACGAACGGATGTCGACCTAGATGAAACGCCTATCTATGATTTTGGTGGAGCGGCGATGGGTGGGGCGGCGCTGGGTGGTGTAGGCGGTGCAAGTGGTAGTGGTAGTGGAAGCGGACTTCAGAATATCACGGCTGACCAGATTCGCAATATGGTTAGTAATCTGCCTGCTGCGCGTGCGGCTTGGCCGGACGAAGAGGTGCAGAAGTTGGTGGTACTGGGGTTTAGCAGGCAGGAGGCGTTGGCGGCGTTGAATGCGACGGAGGGGGATACGGAGATGGCGGCGGGGTTTTTGTTTGAGCATTATCCTTCGTAGGGTGGTGGTGGGGGATGTAGATGTAGAGAGGATGGGCGTAGATATGGAGATGGAGATGGGGATGTAGAAGGGATGAGTATACATGGAGGTGGTGTAATGAGTAATGATGTTGAATATGTTGGGCTGGCTACCTAGAGATGAATTTTTGGTGATGGAGTTTAACCATACTGCTTGTTCTACACAAGCATGTACTTTGAGTCAGTATATGCCAAGTATGTCCAAGAAACAATTTACTTATCAAGACCTGCATGGTCCTCACTTCTCAGAAACTCGTGGTTCAACTTCGGAAGTATACGTGCAGCCAACACAGCGGAAACACTACCAAACTCATACTAGCTCGCCAATCCATGGATCGACAATCTACATCTCGGTCATCTGCCCGAGTATCCCGGTGTTTACCCGACACCTGGGCAGCCCACGATCTGATGACAGCTTGGCGTGTGTGAGAGGTGGGAAAATTTAGTTGAAGGTCACGCGTGACTGTTGTGTTATCTATGCCACTTCCATGTCTCAGCCTAGAAGGGTAGGCATTGAGTCAGTCGTGGGGGAGTGTGGAAGTAACAAGTGCCATGGTAAGGATAGCGCGCGAGTCATGCACGCGATGCCAAGGTGATCTGCTACGTCACAGTCTCCTGGGTATTGTAGATTGCAGATGGAGATCTAGATCAAGCAAATGTGTTAGATGATGAAGGATAGAGTGTAATGATATGTAATTACTATGCATGGTAAAAAAACGATGCGCATGGGGTATCCTCCCTCCTCTACCTCTGTATCCAACCAACCCAGCCCAACCCAATCAAGAGTGGTGAAGCCCTATACCAAGCCCAACAAAAGTGGAAGTCTAAATCTATATCTATACAAACATTGAAGTGAAAGAAATATGCGTCTCTGCGTCTAACATGCGCTCGTGAACGTAATCATAACGATGACAGGGGAACCAGGCGATGAGATACCATGATAAACACACCACAACAAACCAACAAACCCCCCTCCAACCAACCATCCACCTTAGAAAACACCCCCCCTACCTCCCCTCACTACTCGGACTCGCCGTCCTAGGACTCTGCCTCCGACTATTCATCTGCGTATTCCGATACGTCTCCTCATTCAACGTATCCAAACTCCTTGTGGGACTAGGAGTAGTCCCCCTACTACCGCGACTCCTGCTAGGCGAACTAGGCCTACTCATCGCAATCTCGTAGCTCGGCAAATCCATATCCATGCCGCCAGGCGTACGCGAACCAGCGGGCGTGCGCACAGCGGTGTTGTAGCTGGGCGTGCGGGCTAGGGCGTCCATGTCGTAGTTTGAGGGCGGGAGGTCGAAGTACGCTTGTTCGGTGGTGTTGGAGTTGGAGTTGGCGTGGGCGGGCGTGCTTTCGCCGGAGGAGTGTTGGCGGGTGGGTTGGAAGCGGGTGGGGCGGTCGGAGTGGTGCATGCTGAGGTTTGCGAGGCGGTGTTGGAGGGCGGCAGCGGAGGCGCCGCCGCCGGGCTGGTGGACGGCTGCATCGAGGGACGTGAGGTCTTCGGCGGAGCCGCGCCGCGATTGCGCGTAGAAGGGCGTGTTGGCCCCGCTGTTCATCATGCTGTGGACGCCGCCGGGTGTCATGAAACCTGAGGGGTCGATGTCGTTGTAGAGAGAGTCGAGTTGGTGGAGCCCGTATGTCGGAGGCGCGTTTTGGTTGACTTCGTCTTGGATGGCTTGGGCGTTTAGGATGTTTTGGTCTACGACTACGCTTTGGTCTTCGTTGGGGGGCAGGTTTGGTGAGATGAAGAGGTGGACGTGGTTTTTTACTAGCAGTTGCGAAGTGTGGCCTTCGGGGTTCTTGAGGTTGACGTATAGGCGCAATTTGTGCGTTAGCCGTATGTTCTCTGTGTCGACGGATTGCCGGCAGTTCTTGAGCGACTTGGGTAGATCGAGCGTCATGGAAAAGCGATGCGACTCGTCGAATAGCGCGTCCGTGTCTTCTGTTCCGTCGGGGACCCTGCGCGCAGAGTCTTCGGGCATGTCGCCTTCTGTGACCGCAACCTGCATGTCGTTGTTGTGACTTATCCGGCGGCCAGCGTAGTCGGCGAACAATTGCCGCGATTCTATGAGCTCCATCTTGATTGTCGAAATCTCCACACCCTTGCGCAGGGGAATCAGCACGAAATCGGCGGTTATCGACGTTCCGACAATGTAGTTCTTCTGCGGGACCGTAATCTTGTAGGCCAGCTTGTTCGCCCAGATATCTTCGTTGATCTGCTCCATGGGCATGGACTCGAGCATGTCGCGTCCGAGCGTGCGAATGACGCGGATGTGCGCCGTAGCACTGAGCTGCTTGCTCATGTACCCTCTATCCACGTGGGCCTTGAGACTATAAACCACCCAGTTGGTCGGCAGCCCCTCGACGCTCTGGTCAAGGTTCGGGGGCATCTTGAACTTGAAATCCCACTCATGGTATCCGGCGTTGAGCTTGTGCGCTTTGGTCTTGCTGCCGACGTCGACGGGAAAGAGGTGGAGTTCTTCGACGAGGAAGTTGGTCTTTTGCGTAATCGGCTGCGGGCTGACGGTGTTGGTCAAGTGCCATCTGCGGGAAGGTCAATTAGCATGCGCTTCTGGTAAACCTCCAGGAAGGGGCGTTACCGTACGAGACTTTCCGTGTGCCCGTGAGTGTGATTCGCAAGCTCCTCACTGACATGGACTCTGGGTTGTTCAGAATCAACTTGCCCCTCAGCTCCGTCTCATGCGACTCAGACGACTCTCCATAGAAAACGACAAAAGGCGACTCTGGCCTGGGAATGTGTTAGATATCGCCATGTTGAGGTTTGGCGGTGGTAGAAGCGTACTTGATCTCCAGGGTGGGCACGGCATGTCTGCCGAAGACCCCGACACCTGGGCGAGGCATGATGTAACGAGGGTCGTTTTTTATGAGTCGAACCAAACACCACCAAAGAGATGTTTAGAGGCTTCTTCGATTGTAGAAATTTAACCAGCGACAGTGTATCCTTCTACTTCTAGCAGGCGTAGGTGGTATAATATGCGAACGTGGACGGCGATGCAGTCAGCAAGCTGAGAGATGCTGATTCGAAGCGTGGGAGGAAGTAGACACAGAAAGCGCCGCACGTCACAGATATGCAACCAAAGTAAAGTAAGGGCAGGACTCTACTCAGCTGGCCGCGGCCGCGTGTAGGTACCGCGTTAGATATACCACATTAGCTGGCTGCGCGTGGGATAAAGCGGGCAAGGGCGGCCTGCACCCTGATGAGCTCATGGGCTGCAAGTGGAGACGCGACAAGTCCAGTAGGCCTGCTCGCATCATTGTAGTCGCCTGTCTAGCGCGGCTCCTGGGTTGCGCTCACGTCTTAGAATTTTCTGGCGCAATCATTAGGCGTCGCATTGGCAGGCCGGGGCTGCCAGCAGGGGCCGTCCCAAAGAAGGTCTTCCGATAAGAAGACACCGCGAACGGCGGCCATGGCGATAGCAGCGCGCCTCCTGTGCAAGTAGCCTTCATAGACATTGATTACGCGCGTCCAGAGTAATTCACTGCGATACAATCATTAATACCTCCGTCTTACAGCCTATCCAACAATCCCACCGACAGCACCCACTATTCCTCATCCCTCGCTTGGAGTCACATCGCCCTCTTGCTCTAACTAAGCCTAAGCTCTTCAGGGTTTTGCTTGCGGCTCTCCCGAAGTATCTCCACATGGTACTACCCAGCCTTCTAGTGCGCTTTTCTACCTCTTACGCATTGCACATGGATAGTAGCTGCGATTGCGCCACACCTGGCATGGTTGCCGCCCATCTTGCAGCATCGGCCAACCTGCAGCTCAAATTCCGAAACGTGCGAATGCACCTCGCCGGTTCCATTCTTCGACGAATACTATCGTCGAGACTGGCATTTCTGCTGTCTGGTCGAACGAGGGTCGCCTGACGTGGAGGGATTGGGTGGAGGGTGTGCATGTGTATTGCGTGTCGTTGCTCAATCAATGGAGGGGTATGGCTATCAAGGTTTGAGTTGCGGTGTTACTCGTGTGATGTGAACCATCGTTCCTGCCTCCGTCTCACCCTGACTCCAGCTCAACTCAACGGTTGAGCATCGCCGATACAGCCACGCCATTGCCGTCACGACTGTCTTGACCGCCACGCTGAAACCAGCCACCAGCCTCCTACACTACACTACTCACCACTCAACTCTACGCCTACCTTAATCTCGGTCCGAGCATGCACGGTCACGAAAATCTGCGGCTAGACCTGCATTGCCGCAACTGTGGGTAATGCGAGCAGAGCCTCATCATAGCCATGTACATGTACGTACATTATACAGACCCACATTCAACTCGACAGAAGCGACTACAGTAATTCCCGCATGCGCCGCCGCGTGTATCCACTACTTAGTACTCCGACATCGTGAGCGCAATCGACATGGTCTAGTTAATTTAGTTACTACCGGCCGGAAACCCAGTGGTATCCTCATGGTCGACATTTTTGCCGTAAAGGGTGCATGGTGGAGATAAGGAAACTTGATTTACGCGTCGATGGGGGAGGCTGTTGTTCTAGAACAAAGTAAGCTTCTTCGCCCGCGCAGCATGCAAGGAAGACAGACGTGCATGTAGGGCTGAACGGCGTCTGGCACATGTCAGACTGATGTCGGGATATATCGGAGGGAGGTTGGACCTCCGATGGAACTCGTGTGGCGCGCCGTTTTCAGTGAACCCACATTTTCAGAGATCGGATTCTATAGGAGGGCTCTCAGTAGAAGTACACATTATCGTAGAGATCGTCTACTTCCTAGACTGTAGTGGTGCGTACGCAGCAGAGTGCACATGAAAGCTGGCTAGTGTTCGGAGCGCACCAAGACCTCCGACCTCGACCTCGATCCCGCCACCACCACCACCAAAACCCAATCGCGCGATAAACGTCTTATGCAGATCCAAATACCGCGTCCTAAGCATGATTCCCATTTGCACTCGCAGACGTACTGCTGTCGTCATTCCCAGCACCTTCTTTCGGTCGGTCCCAAGTCCGGATATGGCCTGCAATACAAAGCTGTCAGCGATCCACTTCCTTATCTCTGAAATTTACCCATCGCGAACTCAACAAATGCGTCGGGCGGATCCCGGTGTGCCACTAAGACGGGTGTTCCTGCGCACGGCCACCTGGCGCCTGTAGTAGAAACCCGGGCCTTATCGCAGATCATACGTGCAACGTGCGCGTAACGGGTGGATATGAGGTGATTTGAACGAAAACTTTGCTTGCTGCTGCTGCGACTCACCGTTCTTGCATGAGGTGAGGATGCAGTCCTCTTCGAAGCCTAGCCAGCACAGTGGGTGCTCGTGGACGGATTTTGCCTATGGGTATTGGCGGTTAGAAATTGATGTTGAGGTTTCAGCTGAAGCCAAACTCACCAGCACTGGAGGTAGCATGGCCGTGCGTGCCCGAGGCTCCACGGGGTGCACCACTATTTCTTCCTCGTCCGCCATGCTGCCCGATGTGAGGTTCGAGTTCGATCGCAGCCTATTGACCGAGCTTCCTCCCGTTTGTGTGCGCTGCATCTTGAGGTTCGACGAGGCGATGCTACCGCGCTGTCGCACAGACGCCTACATCAACGTTAGCCATCACAATTGTCGCGTTCAACGACTGCACTCACTGCTCGCGGCCTGTGCAGCATGCCGACGCTGAAGTCCCACAGCAACAACCGACAGTCCTCTCCTACGCTGCCAATACGGTAATTGCGCTCGTCGCATCGCCATGGATCGAACTGCACTGCCGTCACCCACGAATTGTGGCCCTGACAGCGCGCTACCAGCATGCTGTCCTCCAAAGACCATATCGAGACGAGATCGTCTTGCCCTCCCGTGACGACATAGCGACCGTCAGGCGACCAGCAGACGCACATCATGCCGCCGTAATAGCTCATGTAGTGGTGGAGCAGCTTCTCGCGCAGGAAATCCATGATCCTGAAGGACCCATCCTCGGACACAACCGCAAGATGACGTCGATCGGGCGAAAATTCAAAGGCATTGACCTTTGACCTCGAGACTTGCCAGTAGGACACGGGATTCGTTCTCTGGTTCTTCGAGTTGACAGACTTCTTGACCGTCAAGAGGTGCTTCAGCTTCTTCTCCTGATCTGTCAGCCCATTCTCGCTAGGAGATGTGACGGCCTCTTCTGGCACAAACACGGCGTCTTCCTTCTCCTTGTCATACACCACCAGACTGCCGTCCATGTGCGCCGCGAGGAAGAGATTCTCACTATTCGGCAGCCACCGTATGTCCGACACGGCGGTCTTGTTGATGACACCGTTCTTGTTGATGCGCGCGTACTTTTGCGACATTGGCTCGTACCATATTATGTCGCCTGTCGAAAAGCCCATGATGATGTCGAGGTGATTTGGGCCTTTTGTGATCTGGTTTATATCGTGACATAGCGCGTGCGCTTTCGTGAAGAGAATCTTGGTCAGGTGTTCGTCTTTGGTAGGTGAAGTCAAGTCCAGCCACTGGAATGCGCGGTTGATGTTTGCGAAGGCATAGAGGCCATTGGGGTTGTGTTCTTGCAATCGCTTGGTCAGGGCCTCATGGGGAATGACTCTGGATACGAAGGACGAGTTGCTCTTAACAATGTTGCTCTTCGGTTTCCGCCTCTTAGTAGGATCCTTGGAGTCTTTGCCGTTGATGACTGCCAGCGCCGCGTTGCCTTCGCCGAAGACGGGTGTCTTCAGCCCATCCAGCGGAGACGACACGATGCCATTGGCGCTGTATGAACCGCCATCGCTCGCCTGGCTGTTGCTCTCGTGCGGCGACTCCTGTATGCTCGGGGGCACTTGCGACCGGGTGCTCGTCCGTGTGCCGAATCGGTGGAGTTGCGACTGCGAGGGCTGGCGGGGCGCAAGGGCGACGAGCGAGAGCTTGGTGCCAGCTGTGGGAGGAGAGACGGTCGTCGCAAGCGGGTTCGGGTTGTGGATGGGGGCCTCTGAGGGATGCGGCGGGGGCGTAGCTAGGTGGAGGTCGTCGCGCAGCACATAGGTACCTTTCATAGCGTCAGTGAGGGCAAGAGCTGCAGGGTCCAGGCTGGTTAATTACCTTCTCCGACGACCAGCTGGTGCTCGGGGCCGGTGGGGTGGGTGAGGGTGTTGTTGGTCTCGATAAGCTGGCCCGGCTGCGCGCCCGGGTAGCCTCCGACAGGATAGCGCGGCGGCGGAGGGAGGACGCTGTACACACATCAGTCGCGCGTCCGATGGGGGTGGAGCACGATAGGGCTGCCATTGGTGGGCGACTGGCGGTCAGCCAGAGATAGGACAGGTACTCACAACATAGCTGCTGCAGTGTAATCAGTTGCGGGCTAACTGCGGCCTGGTGGAGTCGCGGTGCCTGGCTAGGAGTGGCAGGGTAGAGTTAAGGGTAAGACATTAGCACCAGCAAGTACCGCGGCTATGGCATCGGCGTGTGAAGAGGCAGGATACGTCGATTTGGGCGCGCGCGGAGAAGGAAGCTTGTGGCCCGCGGCAGGCAGGCTGGGACTGGCATGGGAGCGCGGGCCATGGAACCATTGGGGAAGTGGAAAGCGGAGACGAGACGGGCGCCTTATGGCTCCGTGCACTGGGCAGTCTTATTAATTGCCTGCCATGCCGCTGGCCGTTGGTGGAGAGGACGAGGCATGACATGGGTCCGGCGTGTCTGCAGGGCCACTCGACAACGGTCGACGCATTGCACCTCCCAGCAGCCAATCTTGCGGGGCTGCTGGCGGGGAAGCTCCAGGGCTGCGATCGTCTCCCACGTGTGCCAAGCCTTCTGACAGCACTGGTGCTGCCCTGACCACGAATCGCTATGAACATTGCACAAGTCCGAATATTCTCACGGCAGGTCCGATCCATTTTCCCAACCACTCACTACCTTCACTGCATCCCTTGCACCTGCCCAAATGCACCAATAATGCTGCCGAGAAATGGCGACCGGTATGTGGAGTTCCCTCCCGACAACACACTCACTAACATGCGCAGTACGGATTTGTCTTTGCGGTGACGATGGCGTCGGCAAGAGCTCCATCATCACGTCTCTTGTCAAGGACGTCTTCGTCACAGCCAAAATCCAGCCCGTTCTGCCACAGGTGACGCTTCCGCCCACGCTTGGAACGCCCGACAATGTCACCACCACCATCGTCGATACCTCCGCCCTGCCTCACGAACGACACACGCTCCGCACAGAGCTCCGCAAATCGAACGTCATACTCCTCGTATACTCGGACCACTACAGCTATGAGCGGGTGGCGCTGTTCTGGATGCCCTACTTCCGCTCGCTGGGTGTCAACGTGCCAGTGGTGCTGTGCGCGAACAAGTCTGACATCGCCTCGAATGGCACAACATCCCAAGTCGTATCGGAGGAGATGCTGCCTGTCATGAACGAGTTCAAGGAGATCGACTCCTGCATCCGCACCAGCGCCAAGGACCACCACAACATCAACGAGGTCTTCTTCCTCTGCCAAAAGGCCGTCACACACCCGATAGCCCCGCTATACGATTCCAAGGAGAACGCACTCAAGCCAGCAGCCGTGTCTGCACTGCAACGCGTCTTCCATCTATGCGACACAGACAAGGATGGGTACTGGAACGATCAGGAGATTCACGATTTCCAGATCAAGTGCTTTGAGAAACCGCTGGGGGACGACGATTTGATGAACATAAAGAGGTCGATGGAGCGCTTTGCTCCCGGTCTGACCGGCGAGCATGGCATGGACGAGAAGGGGTTTCTGCTCCTGAACAAGATCTTCGCGGAGAAAGGGCGGCACGAGACCATCTGGATCATACTGCGGAAGTTCCACTACACCGACAGTCTGAGTCTCCAGGACACGTTCCTCCACCCCAAGTTCGATGTTCCTCAGTTCTCCTCCGCCGAACTCAGCCCGTCCGGCTACCGCTTCTTCGTCGATCTGTTCCTGAAGTTTGATATGGACAATGACGGAGGACTCAACGACAGAGAACTCGCGAATCTATTCGCACCCACCCCCGGCATGCCGACATCTTGGGTGGACTCGTCGTTCCCATCGTGTACAGTGCGCAACGAAGCTGGATACATCACACTACAGGGTTGGCTCGCGCAATGGAGCATGACTACCTTTGAAGAGCCCAAGACGACTCTAGCATATCTGGCATACCTCGGATTTGAGAGCGGCGAGCGCGGAGGCACAACCAGCGCACTCAAGGTGACCAAAGCTAGGAAGCGACGGAAGAAGCCTGGCCGCGTCGAGCGCAACGTCTTTCTATGCTACGTCATAGGGTCGAGCGGGAGTGGAAAGAGCTCATTGCTGTCTGCCTTCCTCCAGCGACCGTTCAGCCACACCTACCATCCCACGATAAAACCGCGTTCGGCAGTCAATAGCGTTGAGCTGAAAGGTGGCAAGCAATGCTATCTAATTCTGGAAGAGCTCGGTGAACTCGAACCCGCGATCTTAGAGAACCAGGCCAAGCTCGACGCGTGCGATCTGTTGTGTTATACCTACGACTCGAGCGACCCCACGAGCTTTGCGCATGTTGTCGAGCTGCGGAAGAAGTACCCCCATCTCGACCAACTACCAGCGGTCTACACAGCCCTGAAGGCAGACCAGGACAAGACGATGCAGCGATGCGAGCAGCAGCCCGACGAATACACCAGCGCCCTGAGGATGGCACCGCCACTGCACGTCAGCACGACGTGGAACAGCATATCGGAGCTGTTTGTTCACGTACGTACTACATCCATTGATTAATTCCACGAGCTAACACCGTATAGCTGGCCGAGAGCGCCACTCACCCCTCGACAGCCTTCCCCAAGCAGGAAGAGGACGGCTACGATTATCTCAATCTTTACCTAGCGCTGGGGGCTGTCACGTGTGCAGTGGCCTCGGCGATGTTTGTCTGGAGACGCAGCAGCGCATCGACCTGAGACCTGCACGCCAACCTAGGGAAAAACTGAAAAGCCTAGAGCCTACGTTGACTTTAAGTCACCTCCTTTGCAAGGTTTTAGGTCAATGTAGTCTGCAGACCTGTTCAGTTTTTCCCTAAACTGACGTGCTGAGACCTGAGACCAGGGGCCAGGCATGAATGTGAATCTTTGCTTCTTGTATATACCATGGCAGCACACCACTTCCACCCCTATAGACAAACTACTCGCAATAGGAAGAATCCAAGCTTCGGAGATGATGGCAATGCAGCACTCACGATAATGGCAGCGCGGAGGGTCAGCGCTTAAGCATGACATCACCTTGGCGTGCGGCTACGTTGTACAACAGACAAGTCTCAGCGGCACGAGCGAATAGGTAGACGCAGGGACATTTACCCCTGGCGCTTCGGCCTGACGGGGAGTAGCGCCAATATGTGGATAGATGATATCGGTGAGTTAGCATGGGATCACGATGTTGGGCTGGAGCGAGGGAGGGTGACAGCTCGCTTGACAATGGTGTGGGCTAGCGACGTGCTTCATGGTGCACTTCCGTGACTTAGTCCGGGGATCTGCGAGTAGTCTGAGACGAGACGGCTATTCTTGTCTCTCGCACGCATCACATTCAGTGACAACGTGAACACCCGCGTGCTGCCGAAACCGTGAAAACTCCAGTAGGGGTTTCTTTTGGGTGTAGACGTTGAAACGGTCTAGTTGTTTTTTGAGCAGGACCCTGGATGCGGTATCGAAGTCGCCCGGCTGGGTAAGGCGGACATGGATTGGCTGTCTGGCGTGGTTGAGGGCGGCTGCTGGCAGACGTACACTCGGCTTGTGGTGATGCCCCCCTGTGTGGCGGAGCAGCTGGAGGGCGCCGAGTCGTGCATCTTGGGCGCGCTCCAGGCAGGCTAGTGACATTGCAGTTAGTTGGGGTGCTGGCTGGACATGTGCATCACGGCGCGAATGTGTACCTCTACTATTTCTCCCTGAGACCATGGTGCTTGATACTCCTTCGCCGCAGCACCAACACGCCCGACCCGTCCGCCTCGCAAACCTTGGGCCCTTGGATGCCCGCACCGCCTCGGCGCCCTAAGCAAGCCGTGGCAATCGTGCTAACCCGCACCTCCGCACTCTCTGAGGTTCGCAAATGGTGAGTAGCACGTGTCTAATATTTGAACCTCAGGCACGCATACTGTATCCTGTGGTGGATTGTTTCGTTTCCCTATTCCCCGGCAAAGGCCCGCGGCGCCAACCCGACGTTCCAAGGAGCCCCCAAGCTGACCAAGTCTCGTACCCCACAGGCAACCGACAGAGCCAGAGAGCTGGACCGCCTATATCAGATGCGAAACCCAGGCCCGCGCCGGGGGCATGCGCCGCAGATATCCATCAGCGATGACAGCCACCACGTCACCGAGGCCATAGGCGACATGTACGGCGGCGACAGCGACACCGACGCCCCCAACCGCCGCAGCCTGCGACCCCTAAGCTTCGTCCCCAGCCCCAACGGCGACTCGATCCAGTCCTTTGGCGCCTTCGAGGCCTTCGACCCCTTCCCCAACGCGCCCCCCGCGAGGTCCCCGCTGCGTCCCCAGATGTCCTTCGAGAAGCCCCAAACGCCCACGAGCCCCAATGGCACCGCCAACATGAGCACGAAGCGGGCGTCGGTCGCCCGGCACCCGTCGAACGGCGGCCAGATGTCCCCTCCGCTGTCCCGCTCGAACTCGAACACGGCGTCGCACCAGTTCCCGCTGAACAACCTCGACTACGAGAACAGCCCGGCGGGCCTCGCCCAGGAGCTGAGCAACCTGCAGGCGATACGGAGGATGTCCATGGGCGTTAACAATGCCGATCCCGATCTGCCTTCGTTCCAGTCCGCAAACTCACCGCCCTCCCCACCGGCCATGTCGGAAGAGGACGAGTCGAAACTCTTCTGGGTACCCGCGCGGCTGCACCCCGAACTGGCGCCCATGGAGTTCAAGACGTTCATTGAAGACAAGATTGACAGGACGAGACGACGCTCCGGAGACTCGGACTCGCTATCTCCGGACGGCGCCATGGGGCGTCAGGGCTCGGGTGGAGGGCTGCGGCGGAAGAAGTCCATGCTGTCCAGACAGATTGATACTGGCTCTGGCTACAAGGACGGCGCCGAGAGGCTGGAGAGGAAGCGATCCGGCGCGCAGCCCAACGGGGGCTTGTCGAACCTACAGGAGCTCGAGCACATACAGGAGGACCCGGTGGCCTTGATAAGACGGATGAGCATCGATCAAAAGGGCATGGCTGGGGAAGGGGAAGAGGGCGCCGACGGGATGCCCATTGTGCCGGGTAGCAAGATGCGTGGGCTGGGCACGCTCAAGAGATCAACACACACTACCTACAGACGAGGCAGTCTGCGGAAAGGCGGCCCGCCCCTCTCACGGCGACTCGTCTCTGGCCGACAAGGAGACACAGACACGGAAGATTCCCCGTCCACCTCGCCCGTCCACTCTACCGAGAGCATACCCGAAGTCCCTCCTCTCCCAGGTCTCAACCGCGTTCAGTCGGAACCCGTTAACTCGGCGTTTGAAGGCTCGTCCAACAACTTCTCGCGGCCGGGGGCAAAGCGGGCATCTCCCAGCTATGGCGGCGAGAGACCAGGTTCATCTGAAGAGTACCCCAGGTCAGCTTCTACAGAGCCTGTCTCACAGCAGGAGCGAAGTTCGCCGCAGCCCAGGCAGTTCCACTCGAGAATCGCCTCCAACGGCCGCACGACTGCACCTTTGCCAGGCTACACACCCCCGCCGCAGCAGGTACCCCAGATTATCGAGACACCACCGCCACAAGAACAGAACCGAACACCTCAGTTTCAGCTACCCGAACGTCACTCCTCCCGCCAACCTCCGCCTCAAGCCCAGCAACAACCTGCAGGCCCTCGCCATTATCCTCAGCCTCAACAGCAACCCCCGCAACAACAGCGCCAGCCCCAGTCGTCGAGTCGACCGAACCGTCATGCACAAGCTGCTCAGTCCTCCCCGATCAAGCCCGCGCAATCCTTCGATGACCTAGTAGCACATCCTTCGGCGATGCCCGGCCAGAACAACAGGGTCGATTCGTTGTCCATAATCCCGAACGCGCCAGAAGAGAAGAAGCTCGAACCGAAGGCCAAAGATAAGAAGGATAAGGATGGCTCTGAGGGCGGCCAAAGGAAGACGAGCTGGGGCTGGTTTGGCGGCGATAAGGAGAAGGAAAAAGACAAGAAGTCAAAAGACAAAGACTCAGAAAAAGAAGCCCCGAAGAAGGTCAAGAACAAGCTCAGCAAGTCCCAGGAGAAGGAGAAGGACAAGGGCCACGATGACACGAGACTGGACCTCCTGCAGACATCGATACAGGGCGGCGGGCGTGGTCGAGAAAGTGTAGTGTTGGATCGCGAAAGCGTCAAACTGGAAGAAGAGCGGAAGAAGGAGAGCGCCAGAAAAACATCCAGCGAAGGCAAGAAAGAGAAGGAACCTGGACTGCTGTCCTCCATCTTCGGAGGAGGAAAGAAGAAGGGCGAGAAAGAGTCGTCTCACAAGAAGAACGCCTCACGTGGATTATCGCCCGAACCCCCGCCACGCATCCTAAAGCCCGACATCGACTACAACTGGACCCGATTCTCGATCCTGGAAGAACGCGCGATTTACCGCATGGCCCACATCAAGCTTGCGAACCCCCGCCGCGAACTCTACTCCCAAGTTTTGCTGTCCAACTTCATGTACTCGTACCTCGCCAAGGTCCAGCAAATGCACCCGCAGATTTCCATCGGCAACTCCAAGCAAGCAAAGCAAGCTCAACAGGCTCAGCAACAGCAACAAGCCGCGCAGCAGAAGAAGGAGCAGCAACAGCAGCAACATCAGCAGCAGGCCGCTCAGCAATCTCAGCAGCAGGTACAGCAGCAGCAGCAACCGCAGCAACAGTCGCAGCCTGAGGAGTTTGCCCAGTATCAGCGGTACCAGCAGGTAAGACATATAAAAGGCGTTGTTTAGAAGAGTGAAGCTAATGTAGAACGTAGCAGCAACAACAGCACGAACAGCAATCCTCCGAAAAATCCTCACAAGAATGGCCCTCTGTACACCAACAACAAGCCAATGGCGGCCTCTCACAACAACAAAACGGTCAACACCAGCAACAACAGCAACAACATGTAAGAGGCGGCTCTCAGCAGGGTAATTCTTATAACCAGAACCCGCGTGATTCGCATCACTCGAATCATAGTGCGAATGGCGGAGGTGGAGGTGGTAGTGGTGGTGGGGGTGGATATAGTGTAGCGAATACGCAGAATTATCTGGGGCAGTCGGGTAAAGGGGGTGGGGGTGGTGGTGGTGGTGGGATAGGAGGGGGAGGTGGAGGGGGGTATAGTAATTATAGTGATGATGAGGGGGGGAAGAGGGGGGATGATGATATGTGGTAGTTGAAGACTTCATGGTCGTGATTAATATGAGGACCTCGGAAAGTGGAGCAGGGGGCCGAGTAGGGATATACAGCCTCTTTTCAACTACCCCTTTCTTCATGTTTTTCTGTCTCGAAGTTTGAGTTCTTTGTATATTTATCTGGGTCTCTTATCTAATCTTGGGATGGGGAGGTGGGCGTATAGGGTTTCCAGGGGGTTAGATGGACGAAGGGATAGTAGGGATGTTTACTGACGGTCGCAAGATGGATGTGTCGACGCGGAATGGGAATTACAGATAATGTAATTTTTTCAATCTCGTAGCCGCCTCCATTGTGTGTTGATGCAACGTCTAGCAACTTCGGGGTTCTAGTGGCTTCGGGGATGGGGGGGATAAAGAGAAATGTTTGTCGATGAAGCAAACGTGGAAGGGGATGGACGTATGGGTGGGTGTATTAATGAGGAGGTAACGGTGAACTGGAGCTGTTCACACATCCATCTTACCTTGCAGCCTTTACGACACAGTTAGTGACAACGCTAAGGATACGGATCTCACAATGCCACCGAAAAGAAGACCCAGCAAGGACCGTCGAGACAATTCTCAGCAGGACATCGAACCAGATCCAACCCTAGATTCAGAAGAGGAAATCCCGATAGTGGAAAACGACAAGAACGATACGGCGGAAGAGCAGCAGGACGAGGAAGTGCTGGGAGAAAGGGATGGCACAGGGGACTCGTACCACTTACCTGAAGAAACAGAAGACGAACTCGCACAACGTCCTACGCGTGCCGGTGTAGCAAGAAAACCGCAAAAGAATGTGCCTGCCAAAGCTGTCGTGGTCATCGACGAGGGTGATGATGGGGAAGCATCTGAAGCTCAACGACGGACTCAAGCGGCCGCTACCATCAGGCGAAATTGGGGCTTTGGAAGCATTCGAGAGTGCATCCCAGAAAAGAAGTGGCTTTCACGCGGACTCAAGGACTACGAAGACGAGAACTGGCAACTAGATACCATTGACGAGTTCGAAGGGCTGTCAAACGAGACTCATGGACAAGGCGATGCAATGAAAGAGCAAATTGGATTATTCTTCGATAAAAGGGGGAGTACAGGGGCTAATCGAAGGATAGGGGGCAGTGCCTTAGAGAAGGAGAAAAACTTGGTTGATGATATCAAAAGGCTACGTAAAGGGGACAGGATTGACCCGGAGACGCATAGAGAGATACCTGCGACCCCTCGGGGGGCTGCAGCGGCATCAGGCCCTAAGAAAAAGAGGGGAAAGCCTCAGGGTTCTGCAAACCCGGCACGGAAGGACAGAAGCAATCTAGGACGAGCCAGCAAGGACAAGTCGAGCAAGCGGAAGTCGAACGCCATGGCGGATATCGACGAGGAGTCAGATGATGAGGACAATGGAGTTCAAGGTGGCGGCCAGCCGAGCAAGAGGCCAAGGAAAGATGACCAGCAACCGGCTGAGAAGCAGAGTGGAAGACAACAAGCATCAGGTCCTGGCAGCTCTCTACGCAACCGAATACGGACATTACAGCAGCAAATAGACGCACTCGATCTCATCCGCCAGAACTGGGACATCGAATCTGTCCTGGAGTTCTTGCCACAACGCTGGTTTGAAATGGGCGAAGACGCAGATGAGCACATTCCCCGGGCCATCCTCGAGCGGATACGCGATCTATCCAACATCACCAATACACCAGAGCAAGGTCAAGCCGTCGGACAAGCGCTACATGACAGCATGAGCTCGCGTACAAGTACCTCTCTAGAGGACATCCTTGCGGTCATCGCAGTGGCTGGCGAGCAGTTCTACGCCGCAGCTGAAGAACAGCGTCCATCGCATCCAGACAACATGGGAACACCTTCCGACACCAGAGTTCTGGTGCGCGCAGCTCGAATTGCTGCCGCACGCGCTGATCGAGATGAAAGGGGATATCTGCTCAGGTACGAGGACGGCGTGCTTCGAAGCGCGGCTAGGCATCGGGAAGTTGAGCGGCTTGAAGATATCATGGCGCAGCAGGAAAGGGATGCGGAACGAGAGAGTGATAGGGAAGACGACGGAGAGGAAGAGTGAGATGAATAGATTGATGGGAATGTGAACGGTGACAAAGGAGTAAATCGAGAGGGGGTAGTTGGTTAATGCGAATATGAAATGATAGCGTCTAATAGTTGTGCTGGATTGGTGTCTTCTTATGTTAATGTCTTCTAGCTGAACTAGTATGACTCTAAGATCCGTCTAAATCTGTGCGTGATACATGTAGGGAGGATATTGAGACTCTTATGTACTTGTTCCAATACTGAACGGTGAGATGCCTTACCTAGGTGAACTTGCCTATCGCGATGCCATCAAGCAACGATGCTCTCGATAAGGCGAAGCATCTTTGAACTGCGACTGCTTGGATTCTAGAATGCTCTACGAAGAACTAGTACGAACTGAATGCCGTTCAGGTTTGAGAGGTGAAAGAACGAGTTTGTTTGGATGCAAACGATGGAATGAGATGGATATGTGAGGGCTTGTATATAGCCTAAGAGAGTCGTGAGCTGAGATCACAGTTCACTCCGTCCCCAACTATGGGAAAAGAGAAGCAAAACACGGAAGAAACGGATCTCAGAATGTCGCCGAAAGAGAAAAAAAGGTTTACTCGCTCTCTACGAGAAGAGAACAGAGAACGAAGACAGAGGCAACAGAATGATAGTAACGAGAACGCCGGTAATGAGGTACCCGTCGCACCCACTGTAGCCACTGCGCCAGCTGCACCGGCGGCACCAGCCACACCTGATGCGGATCCTGATACAAGGGAAGACAGTATGATGGTTGATGATGGGGTGGATGTGGCGAGAGAACAGGAGGTTGAGCAGGAGGCGGAGGAGGCAGTGGAAGATGGCGTACAGAAGCCGCACTGCGAACCTGTTCCTGAAGACGAAGAAGAGCTGCGAAACTACTTGACTGAACTAGACGACGAAGTAGCTGGACCGGCGACTGCGAGTGATCCTCCTCCTCCTCCTGTGGGTAATGCAACTGCGCCGGTGATCGCACCTGTCCCGGCCCCTGCTCTGACGAACGTTCAACGAGTAAGACAAGAGACGGATGCCATGGCTAGGAATTGGGGTCCAAAGTTCCGTACCCTGAGGGGCTGCATACCGGCAAATACCTGGCTCAAAGGTCAAACGAAGGACTTGACTGAACACACATGTGAACCAGACACCCTTAAACAACTGCGGAAGTTATCCGACGCAACTCCTAATCTCGGCAAAGAAGTCAGAAAGAAAATTGAGTCGCGCTGGAACACGAGAAAGTCAAAGACTGGCGATATAGGTAGTACGCCGGCTGAGAAACAGGAGAGCCTGCGCGATGATTTGGAGAGGATACTAAAGGAGTACGAGAAGCAGGCCGAAGCTCAGGGCCAAGGCAAGAAGAGATCTGCAGGAGATGACGGTAAAGAGATGTCTGAGCGCAGGAAGACCTTGAGGCATAGCGCAAAGCCGAACTACAACGACCTAGACCCTCACCGCCTACACCAAGACGACGACGATGACTCTGGCTCAGGTTCCAGTATTATACTCCACGACGGCCCAGCCCCGAAGAAGGCAGACGGTGGCGGAAAGGCAGCGGCAAGCGCAAAGCAGAACGGCAAAGCACCAGCGACTGGAACAACAAACAACGCCACGCAAGCTACAGTGCTCACCGAATCACAGAGAGGCCGGGCACTCAGTGACATCTACATCAATTGGAACATCTACCAGTTGCATCTCGACTTCCCCCGAGGCCTCTTTCCAGCCAACATAACGAGCGATACGGCTATCGACCTCAGACTCGTCGCACGATTGCTTGACCTTTCCAACCTTCACGATGATTCTCGGCAGGCTTTTGCTCTTATGGAACGGATCAGGACTCACTTGATGCAGAGTTTTGTAAGGGCGAGAAGTCCCGATGAAGCCCTTGCTTTCCTTGCGCCGTTTGATCGGCCGACGCACGCCGCCGTACCGACACCAGGAGGACCAATGACCAGGGCAACCACAGCAAACCTAAGGGGAGGGCCACCGATGAGAGAACTAGAGCGAGGTACTCCTCTCCCAACACCAGGTACCACTAGACTTAGCGCCGCTGAAATGCTAGCAAGGCAATCGAGGAGTGACGATGATCCGCCTGGAGAGCCGATGGTACTCAACGCAGAAGAAAGAGAGCGCAGGCGTCGAGACCGCGAACTTCATCCTCCAACTGCACCTCCCTTGACAAACCAATCCTTCCGAGCTTCGCAAGCTGCGACACAGTCTGCTGCACAACCAGGACTATCGCGTTTCGAAGGCGGTGTTCTGACTATAGGAACGAACTGGACGCTACGCCGTGCTCTCAACGACAGCAGGCAAGCAGACCAACGCATTCACTCGGCCCGTCGTAGATACGAGCAGGCCGTTCTCAATGGACAGTCCGTTCAGGATCAAGCCGCTCTGCTGTTGGGAATAGAAGCAGCTAGAAGAGTGAGTGACGAGGCGTATGCGAGGACGGACGAGTTACAGGAACGCTGGGCAAGAGCACCATCGAGACGGAGTACGATGGGTGATGGTCCAGGGGGTCTTACCGGTGATTCTGGACAGGAACGCAGCGCGCAGGCTGAGGGCGTTGGCGAGGAGGAAAGCGGAGAGGGACAGCAGGGAGGAGATGGAGGAGATAATATTGGAGAAGGTCTCGGAGAAGGAAAGAAGAAGACGAAGAAGCCACCGAAGAAGACCTAGCGGAAGGATGGCTTGCTAACACCTAGCGAGTGTCGGTAGACCGATGCAACTTCATGTCACTCTCTTTCTATCGCACTAGTAAACATTTCATAAGTGGTTCACTCATCAATTGATGTATTGGATGTAAACTAAGGCGTCCCAACGTTTTTGTGTATTCGAGATTATCATCTACCGCACTTGTGTCTTCTCATGTCATCGACGATGATGCTAACAACACAGCGACACGCTCCGAAGCACCATAACTCAGATGTTAGATTGCTTCGCGAAATACTGGCGCTGCTTGACAACGTTCGAGCGATGTCTTGTTCAAGGTTCAAAGAGCGTGCTTGCTTGGAAACAAACATTAGAAAGAGATGGACATGCACGGGACTATCTTAAAGTAAGCCGAGCCGTAAGCTAAAAGTACCGTCAAAGCAACTCTCAAGACATCACCAACACAATGCCACCAAAGACGCCCAACCTGAAAGGAGCCGAACCCCCTGGGGACACCCAGGCCGAGGCGAAGGAACGGAGACAAGCAATCAACACCATTATCGCGAACTGGGGCCAGGCTTTCTCCACCATGCGCAACTGGATGCACGTAGACACTTGGCTCCAGGGTAACACAGAGAGGATGACAGAGTTCACCTGCGACATGACGACAATACGCGCATTCCGAGATTTGTCAATCAATCATCCGAACCAAGGCCAAGAGGTCAAAGACCAAATCGAGCAGTATTATATTTTGAGATACCACACCAAAAGCGCAGGACCCATAGGGAGTACAAAAGCGGAAAAGATGACTTACATCTGCCAGGATTTGCAGAAACTAGTCGCAGGCGCCTTCATAGACCAAGCGAAGTTCAAAGTCAACAACACGAAGAAGAGACCAGCAGCGGGAAAGGGGGCTGGGAAGAAACCGGCGGCCAGGAAGAGGGCAAAGAAGAACAATACTACCGCCACCATTGGAGACGAAGATGAAGATGACACGATCACATCCGAGGTAGAGGAAGAAGACACGGTCGTTCCCGAATCAGACGAAGCAGAAGACGATGAGCCTCGTTTAGCACCCAATCCTAAGCCTGCAGCCAAGCCAGCAAACAATGGAGAGGCAAATGAGTTCAGACGAAGACTAAGATCGCACGGAAAGGACGAAGTAGAGAAGGGAGCACAGCAGACGGAAAGGGAAAAGAGCAACGCAAGCGAAGCAGACGATGACGACACTTCAAGTATCTTTAGCGAACCACCCGAAGCCGAAACGATACATACGTCCGACGACAAAGATAAGGCACTTGCCCTCATATACACAAACTGGCAGATCGTTTCCCTCCACCTCGACTTCCCAGCCATGCTACGTGGAGCCGATCTGGATGCCCCAGAGGATACTGGTATTGAAGATGTGATCGTCGAGCTCCTTCGCGACTTGTCCGAACGTTTTCCTACCAAGCGACAAGGCAAGAAGATCAGCGAGGAACTGGAGATGCGCTGCAAGAGGATGAAACGATACAATCTCAAGGCGGTTTATCAAGCCATCACTGCTACTGCTAGGAGCTACCGCTGGGCATCGGTATCGGAGGACTCGCTTGGACTATCAGCCGATGAGGGTGTTAACGATGAGCAAGGCCCTCCGCCCGAGGTAGCGCGACCAGAGGTGGCGGCGCGACCGGCGGCACGACCGAACGGTCAGCGCTGTTACACCGCACGGAGTAATGAAGCATCAGATGAAATGCAGGCAGCCTGGGATACAGTGGTAGTTGCTGAAGCGGCGGTCAGAGTAGCGCAAGACAAGCGTACTCGCGCTGCTTTCCAGGGCGAGAATGCATACCAACAAGCAACTCGCCAGTTGAGAGTCTCTGAGGCGCAACTTCGGGCTGCTGAGGAATGTGCGCTGGCGAGAAGTCTTGGAAGACCGCAGAGAGTGGGTGAGATGGTTGGGCCGGGGGAGGAGGAGCGCACGCAGAGGCGGAGTGGTGATGGCGGAGGTGTAGAAGGACAAGAGCAGAATCGGGAAGGGGGAGCTGGGGAGGGTGGAGATGACGAAGTGGACGTCAGGGTAGGAGCGGGAAATGGAGAAAGTGACGAGAACGGAGGGGCAGCCTAGAGTAACAGAAGTGTATATCCACACCATGTCGCGGACGTCATAAGTCCCGCTTCTTCCTATCTCAAGATTTGTAGACTAGAATGTCAAGACGTTTTCATACACTTACGTTTCACATGCCATGTTGGTAAGTTAGAATGAAGGGACGAGATGCTTTCGCTACGTATACTTCGTCATACATGAGTGTCCGCGCGACAGCTAGTCGTCAATCAACGCCACCAGAAATACACCATGACGTCAATACTCATGCTATGCAAGTGCTTCGCTTCACCACTAGTTCACGCGTACGTAGACCAAAAACACCTTCCCGCAAACAGTGTTCCTCGTCCACCAACGTCGCGAGCTTCGCGCATCGTATCGTATCCAGAACATGGCCATAGCCACAGATGAGAAACCACCAGGCTAGTGACACGAAACGCCTGCCATATCCACGTCCTCCATATCTGCCGACACCGGTGTGGGTATGCCGCCGGAAGCACTGGAGCGACGAGTCCGAGAACCGACGTCCAATATGGAGGATGAGCTGTCGCCACCGTACCTCCTCTGCTGGAGATCGCGGAGGATCTTCTGGCCTTGCAGAAGAGAGTTGCGTTGTCCGACAAGCTCCATACGTTGGTTGAAGCGATGAGAGGATTCCGAGAGGAGGCGCTTGGCGTTTTCGTAACCTGGATTGCAGCAATTAGCATATGTAGTCTTCCGGTCTAGATAATGGAAACTTACCTTCATGGCCCTCGTTCAGACCAAGACCATTCTCAAGCTCGTCGCGGAGTTGAGTGCGGAGTTGCTTGTAGAACTTGGACTCTATTCGCATACATACCGCATCGTGAAAGCGGCGCACGGCGAGCATATAGTACGTAGTGACCTGAGCGACAACGCCTCGCTCGACGAGATAAGGCTCATGGTTGAATACCTCCATAGCCCTGACATCTTTCTTTAACCTCTCTTCTTCAGCAGGACTCATTGGCTTGCCTGTGCGCTGCGCTCTGCTGTTCTTGTACTTTGTGAAGCGATATTTGAAGCGAGCTTGTTGGTAGTTTTCTAAGACGGCCTCCTTCTCACATTCGAATATATCGTTATGAAATATGTATGGTCCTTCCTTCTCGTCGTTGAGGCTCTCGTTAGCCATGGTAGTGCGCTGCTGGTCGAAGTTGGTTGCTAGCATCTCTCCAACGATCTTCCATGCGGTCTGATGGAAAGTTGAGCCCTGCCATTTCTTGAAGTGTTGGGTGAACAGGGCTTTCATTTGATCCTTAATCTGCTTTTCGAAAGCATCGAAGAATTTCGCAAGCGGCTGGTCCCAGTGTTCAAGCGTGCTGAGCATGAGGTTATCGACTACTCGTGGCTCGATCTGGCCTGGTACCTTCGACTGGGAGTGTTCGGACAAGTAATCAGTGACTTCGTCGAGAACGAACTTCTTCTTCAAGCCACGGAAGTCTGTAATCATTGGTTGTTCTTCCGGCGGTTTGGGCAGACCTCGCTTCGGTGTCTTGACTGGAGAAAGCCCCGGCGTGCCGTCGATCTTGCGCTTCTTGGTAGGTGTCTCGGGATTGTTGCGCGCTGCAGACTCACTATCGTCGCTGTGCTCTCCGTCATCGTATTCATCATCGTCGTCGTCGAGCGAAATAGCTTTGTTCGCAGAACTTCCTGGCTGAGAGTCTAGTACGTCTGCATAAACGCTTGCGTCTCGACGTCCACCCGTCGCCATTGTGGGCTTCATACTGACTAGCGCATCGAAGAAAGCGTTTTGCAGAAGCCTCCACTTGTTACGCCATTCCTTGCATGGGAATTCGGCTTCGAGCTCTTTACGAACCCCCTGTGAGAAGTCGAGCACGACGTCAGAGATGATTCGTGACGCGTTGTGGTTGGGAGGTTCAGGGAACTGTTGCAGACGAGCTTCCACTTCAGCAAGCCGAGTATCGATCTCATGCTCGATGACTGGGAGCTTCTTCGTTATCTGGTCGGCGAGCTTCCCCGAAAGGAAACTCTGGAGATTGAGAGTTCCGAATCGGGGTGCATAATCTTTGAAGGTTGTAGACCACGGGTCTTCTCCGCTGAAGAAGTGGTGCTCTTGCAACCGAGCCTCTTGATGTGTAAGGCCTTTGTTAAGTTCATCCTGTGCTGGGTTCTTCACAACGAAGTAACCGTGCCCTAGCGCGAACCGTTTCTGATCGAAGACTTCCATTAGTTTGTCGTGACGTGATCCCTTCGGCAGGCAGTCGGGTTTGGTGAGTACGCCTGGAAGCTACGTTAGCAAAAGAAGTTATAGACGATGATTTACATACCAATACATCTGTCAGTAGCCTTCAAACTACGCGCGATGCCAGCAGCGGTTGAATTGGCGATATCAGTCGCTAGCGAGCAGGTGACTAGTATGAGAGACTCGGCGTCTTTGACGTAGTCCACAACTACGTCACGAACAAACTGGATAAGATACTCTTCTTCTTCAATGTCGGCTTGGTTGATGAGACCAGGAAGATCGTAGAAACTCAAAGACGGTGAACCCGGCTGAGTGATGGAGATGCATACAATGTTCGGACTGAACTTGCATTTGTGATGTTCTCCAAGTGCGGCAAGGCTCGGAAGCAAGAATTTACGGTAGTCAACGCGGGGACTGATAGTGGCCAGTTGTGCGCGGCGAATGATATGCTCCAGGCCATCAGGATTGTCGGTATCGGCAAAGAAAGCGTCGTTAGGCTGTGGTAACTGTATCCAACCGGGAAAGCGGCGTTCGTGGCTTGGACCTGCAGGCTTGCCATCGTAGCCAAAATTGCGTCGAAGTGTTACGGTCGCACTCCAGCCCGCGCGCGGGTCATCAGAGGACTCTAGCTTGATGAAGAGAGGGCAGCGAGTGCATGTATCATCGGCTCTCGGTGTCTTGATACCAGAGATGGCTTCAATCACTGAAGACTTTCCAGTAGATTGTTCGCCTAAGCATGTCAGTGAACAGATACTTTACATTATGTACTTCCGGTGACTTACCTAGCACGATGCACTTGGGCAGGGGAATGTCGTAGCGTTGCAAGCCTAAGGCCTCTAGTCGGCCAATTGTCGCAATAGCCTCCTTGACGTGGATAGTAAGCGGATCGATTTCTCTAGAAACAGGTGTGTTGATTAGATGTGTTGAGTCTAGATTATTGTTAGCTGAATGAAATCTCGTTGTGCTGGCGCTTTACTCACCATCTTGCCCAACCAGGTGAAGCGGCTCAAGGCCCTCACTCAAGCGCGATACGTCGTCGCGCGCGGGGTGAACTACCGGCTGTTGTGCAGGCGTGTATGTATTGCTTTGGTCGACATCAGTGGTGCCTTCGATTGGTGCATCTGCAATCGTGCCATCATCGCTAGGAGTGACGGGACGCTTAATGTTTTCCTTCAATGCGCCGCGGCGAGTAGCGCCCACCATTTTGAGAGGTTGTAGAGAAAGTCAAATGGTGCAGAGTTAAGAGGTAAGTAGGTGTAGGAGCGTGGTAGCAAAGTCAATAACAACGAGAGCGCCGGCGCCAAGACTTGACTCTAGGCAGAAATCCGAGGTGACACAGACTCCAAAGCAGGGTCCAGGAGCAGTACGCAAATGGAAACCATTGGACGAGCGTAGAAGCTCTAGGAAGAGAGGGCAGAAATGTCGTGGTGAGCGCGAGTCTGGTACCACTTCTGTAGCGGTGAACGGTGAATGCATGATACGCATGAGCTCAGCTTGCAGCGAGGAGAAGACATGAGTTGGATGGACGACAGATGCTTGTACTTTACCTGCATGTAGGTCTGAGACCTCCGTCGAGAAATCGTCTTCTTTGTACGTGGTCTGGGAGTGATGTCAGGTCATACTCCCACCTCGGAAGCGATGCACACGTCCACAGAAACGCAGTACAGAGAATTGATGCTGAAGATATAGAAATGATAACAGTCAGAGTTGATGGACAAGCTGGGGAATCATTGCGGGAGAAGGAGGCGGACAGAGGAGAACCGTCACACAGATATCGAATAGCTGCTACTGTCACGGAATAGACGTAGCACGCCAACCAAGAAAAGAACTAAACAGGCCTGCAGCCTACATTAACTTAAAACCCTATAAGATAGGTAACTTAACGTTAATGTAGGCTCTAGACCTGTTTAGCTTTTCTCTTGTATGAGGTGGTAGTAGACTTCGCGACAAATTGGTCTAGATGTTGCAGTATCTAATAATACAATATGCAGTTTCTAACTCCCGCGAAGCAGCCCTGCAAGGCTTATAATTTTCGCGAAGCAACAGCCTATACCTCTACTTCCCTTTTATACCTCTTTTATACTTTATTTTAGCCTATTGCTACTGCTAGAGGGGGTGTAAGACGCCTCTTTTTAGCTGTGCACGTAGGAAATTCTTATTAATAGATACAGACACAGCCTTAGCAAGGTATAGAGGAACATACACCCGTGGCTATTCACCTGCCTGGCTATTTACTCTGGCCGGCTTGGCCTATCACCTGGCATAGATTCATTGGACGTGCACAGTCGCAGGCGATGGGTGCTGCGCGGAGGAGCGATTTGTAGCTCCATCGTTCGACAGAGCTGCTATGGCTGACAAACGACAAAGAAGGTAGCATATGAATCCAAACAGGCGAGAGAATGACGCCGCATAGATGGTTCTGATGGTGAGTGACGAGACATGGCAGGAGGTTTGACGGCACAAGTGGTCGCGCCAATCCCGAAGATTCGCCGCTAGCGCCAAAGCAGCAAGGGTCCTCAAGAAATTCCATCGAAGCACATCGTCACCGGTGGCTACCGTCCGACCACGAGCTCGCCCACGCCCTCGCCTCACCCCCGGAATCGCCCAAAACACATCCTCTCCCCTAATAATTCATAATGGATCATTCGCGCGATCCCTGTCCCTGGGTCATTCTCAATGACTTTGGCGGTGCCTTTGCCATGGGTGTATGTCCCCACCAGCGCTGCATCTCTGGCCCATATACTAACACCGCATTAGGCTGTCGGAGGAGCAGTATGGCATGGTGTGAAGGGTGTACGTATCTTTTGATTCATACTTTGAATTGCGCTCATGCACCTATAGTTCCGTAACTCACCCTACGGCGAGCGACGCATCGGCGCCATCACAGCGATCAAAGCCCGCGCGCCTGTTCTCGGCGGCAACTTCGGAGTCTGGGGAGGACTTTTCAACACATACGACTGCGCAGTCAAGGGAATACGGAAGAAGGAGGACCCATGGAACGCCATCATCGCAGGATTCTTCACAGGTGGATCGCTCGCAGTACGAGGAGGATACAGGTCGATGCGAAACGGCGCGATATCATGTGCCATTCTGCTGGCTGTTATCGAGGGTGTCTCAATTGGCTTCAACCGCATGATGGCCGACAACACAAGGCTCGATGCGCCCCCACCACCACCAGCCGACGTGGGTGCACCATCTGGCGGCGGCGGCATGGCTGTGGCCGCGTAAAACGTTTTCGATTCACGATTTATACCTCTTCAGAGCGAACCGCTATCAGGCCACGGGCGGGCAGCGACATGTCTGATGTCTGGGCAAGCGGTGTTTTTGGGATGTTTGGCATATACCGCAGGCAGGTTTCGGCAGCGGGCGGCGTTCACACTCTCCTCAGCTTTGTGCTATACCTGTATCATATACGCGACACGACTTGTACAACATCTGGAGGCGTCTCTAGACGGAAGCTTGAGTGTGCGGAATTCAGAAGATACGACACATCTCAATGTTCACCAGCTATAGCGCAGCCAATGTATTGAATCCGAGCTTACCGCAATAGTTTAAACCCAAAACCCGCCTAATATAACTTGATGACATCATCAGACCCACTTCTCAGTAAACAATCCTCTGAGCTTCCCCGGCATCCCGCGATGTTTGGGACACTGCAAATGCCTTCAAGGCTAGAACGCACGCGAGGGGAAGCCACTCAACGAAGTCTGCTATAGCTGCAGGTTGCTGCTAGCTTCTTCGAGTCGGCGTGGCTGACGGCAATGAGCTTTGACCGCCTTTTTTACCCTGGAAATACTGCACCTGCCGCTTCATTCGATGTCTTCACCCCAAACCACGATGCTGCCTCCACACGCGCCAGAATTACGAATCCCATCTCCTCCATCTCACAGTTCCTATGTTTTTCACTCCACTATTCAATAACACCAATACGATATACGACATTTCTTCCCAGACGCGAATATGGCACCTTCCAAAGATTTCGATCTAGCGAAAGCCATCCAATCAGAGCTCACCTGCATCTTTCCAAGGCCCTTGAAACAACATGTCACCACTATCATGACCAACTGGCATCTCGAATTCGCAAAGGACTGCATTCCACGTCCTTTATGGCCCCAGGACCTCTTCCCTCAATGGGGTGCCGACATCATTATGCTTTTAAGCGAGATCTCATCATTACCTGGCGCTACTCTCCCAGACTTCACAAGGAGACTAAAGGAAGTTGTAAAGATGCGTCAACAGAAGAACAAGTCTGCGGCTGGCAGGTCGAGTCGGGCCAAAGCTGTAGATCTGAAAGCGGTCTTGAAACAATATGAAAGAGACGCCGATGAGATGGGAGCTGGGCTAGCCAGCCCGGAGTCAGACGCGAAGGGTAGGAAAGGTGGCCGCACGACCCGGAATACCCGTATACAGGTGCCGAAAACACCTGTCAACAACGACGACGACGAGGAAGAGGAGGAAGAAGAAGGTTCATCTGAACCACTCGCTGGCGGAAAATACCAGTACCTCTCTGGCGTGCGACCCGTCAAAGTCAACCTAAATCCTGATGCATCCGCCGTGAAGAAACCCACGCGGCCCAAGCCCCCACCAAGAGGCAAGAGACGGAAAGCCAACGAAGACGCAATGCCAGATCCTCTGGCAGTCGAACTCCCAACTTTGGTGCACCAGGACCCCGACCCCCGGGTACCGGATGACACTGGCTTCCTCTCAGATCTTGAAGGCAATGAGGCGAGGGAGAAAAGCAGGAAGAGGAAGAAGCGACTATCGAGACTTGAGCAACAGCGTATTAGGGAACCGCACTGGCAGCTGGATAACGATAATATCACTCTTGATGTTCCGACTCCAACGCAACCGCCCGGTATCTCTGCTGCAGAAGACGAAGAAGAGGCTGCGACCGTACTTGACGCACACGATGACGACGAACTGGCTGTGAACAACGCAGAAAACCCGGCACCGGATAGTGAAACAGACGAACTGATAGATGCCACGGAAGAAGCCGAGATCGAGGCCATGAACCTACTGGCCTCTCTACCTGAACTTCCAGCGAATGCGACGGCAACAGAGAAGCGTGAATTAGAAGAACTGAAGTTAAGCATGGAGCAGCGGATATGGCGAATCAAGGTCCTGAGGATAGAAGAGCGGGTCCAGAATGAGGCGCTGGCGAAGCGCGAAACGGAAGGTGAAGAAGAGCAAAGTGGGGATAATGAGGAGAATGTGGGTAGAGGTGGTAGGGTCCCGAGAAAAGAAGAGAGGGTGCGAAATCAGGGGCGAGTCAGACGAGAAGCAAAGAGTGGGGACAGTGGTGCTGTGGAGAGCGATACGAGTAGAGGGGGGAGGGTGTTGAGGACACGGAGGGGGAGGTAGGGTGTAGATGCGAGGTGCATAGGGCACTGATGGGGAAGGTTGGAGAATACGTTGGTTGCTATCCACTTCAGCCACTGGTACTGTGATGGCGTTGAAGGACGGTAAGCCACTCACAGGCTCTGTAATCTCAACGTTACCAGACCAAAGAGCATACAGCCATAAGCTTTTTTCGCTTCTATCTTTTAAAAATTTTCCACGCCCACGAAGGCTTCTTTTACTTCCGCTTTTCAAACTGCAACAGGGCTCCACAACGACATTACCCTGAATAGTATGGCACAGCTCACGAGACCCAACCCGGATCCATTCTATGAGGACAATCCTTCTGATAGCTACGATGACCCTCAAGAGGAAGAGTACCACGACTATCTTAGGGAGTATGTAACACAATCTCCTTCTTGTCAAGACACATGCTGACACAACTCAGTGCAAGCGCCTGGCTGGAAGACTACCGAGGGCGTGAAGAATTCCTGGCCTATGCACCAAAGCTGAATGGCAAATTCAGATTCGCCACGCCAACAGAGTGCGATACCTTCAGCGCAGCGGATCACAGCCTCTCGAACATCCTCGCCCGACTCCCAGCCGAAGTCGACGAACGCATCATGATCCAAGAAGGCCCACAGTGCCGTGCGTTCTTCCAGAGTATACGGGATCGTCTACCGAAGGAGCTTCGTGAAATGGTTTTCGAACACATCTTTCAGGGCACGTACGTCCTATTGGAAGCGAATGGCTCTGAAGCCGATAACGCCGACGATTCTACGCCTTGTGTGGAGCAAGACATCGGAAGGCATTATCCTTACAGCTACCTACTCAAGCCAGGATATATACACGACCATGAAATAAGGACTGAGCTTATCGAAGCATGGTTCAGGACATCAAACTTCATTATCACAGATGCAGCACTCATTCGCCCCTCTCTGGAAAAGTACCCATGGAGCGCTGGTATTGATCCAGTGCAACTCATCAGACGAGTTGAACTGAAGACAAAACCCCTAGAAGCCCCATTAATGCGCGAGGCCATCTGCAAAGATCTGGACTCTCTCAAATGTCTCAACCCGGGCACAACCATCATCATCATCGTGAAAAGATTCCCTGAAAAGAGTCATCATCCGAGAGAAGATTTATATCGCGCAGAATCTTTATACCCGATAGCATTGCGTATGAGGAGTTTGGGGTATAAGATGATAGTTCGACCGTACCTTAATAATGAGATTGTGGTGGAGCGAGGGAACCGTTGGGTGGAGGCATGGTTGAGGGAGAATGAGTGATGTCTGCGGTAGACACGAGTTTAAAGACTGTAGTTTGGTTATACGGGAAGACAAAGTAGACTTCTAGGTCTGATATTGGCTTGTCACAGTTATCTGGCCTTTTCTTTGGATATAGTGGAGCTCTTATCCGTCCGTACCATCCCAGAAAACATCGCATGCTCAGTTTGAAAATACGTACCGCGCAGTCATAACGGTTTCTTTACTTCGTTATTGGCTCTCGCATCATAACACTATATCCATGGACCTCGACATCGCTGTTCCGGAAGCGACAGCAGTATCTAGGTAGCGAAAGCGGGCAGACGGGGGCGTACGTGCGCAAGAACCCGGGCGCATCAAACCCATGGTATCCTTCAGCCGTTATTGCTCTACAGAAGCTGTTGTATGGCACGCCCTGGCTTTTGCTACCACTGAAATGGACGATACAGGTGCGAACGACGAGTAAGAGAATGGCAGAACCAGATCCCTGATACGGCTCTCCGAGCGATACCGGATGCTGGATTTCACTACTCAAACTCTCGTTTTCCGCACGTTCTACAGCTGCACTCTTGTATCAACCTGAGTCCTGCTAACAAGTTCTACGGCCGAGAGATGCAAGGAATTACTACGAACAACCATGTTACCGCGGATGGTATGGCATACCAGTAAGTCACTGTAGCACTTCTTTTAGGTCTTGATGGCTAACGAACGAAAAGAGCCAACGTAGGGTTCTCGCATTTTTCGGATTCTTCAGATACGGAGATGTCTGATGTCTCAAACGATGAGCATAATGAGTTTCTAGAAGATAATCATGTGCCTTCGGATGAGGAGAACAATGAGATGTCAGTCGACGAAGAAGACGAGGTCTCGGAAGATGAAGACGATGGGGTCTCAGACGATGAAGAGGATGAGAACTCGGAAGATGGAGACTCAGAAGATAAAGACGATAGGCTTCCACAAGAGAAATGCGGGCTTTCGAAGGACCAATACGCTGCGCTTCTAAGAGATGAGCACGACGGGCTTCTAGAAGAGTCCGGTGAGCTCCAAGGCGAGGAAGATGGTGCAATTCTAGACGGAGAAGCCGCTGAAGCTGCTTGGCCTACTTGTTGCGCATACCTCAATGAGTGCGTATCAGGGTGTCACCATGGATGTTATGGTTGTTAACGTTTCGTAGCGCGACGACAGAACTGAGAGGCTCTCAGAAGATTTGGACTGCTCTTCATTCATCAGCCTACCACAGTCCAACAGGACATGCCACAAAAGCGGATATCGACGCTTTCCATGAAGCTAAGTGCGATCGGATACGATACGCCTATCGTCGTTCAATCCTCCAGCACATGCAAGATTTCTGGCCTCGAGAGCTTCGCGATATGGTGTATGAATACCTCTTCGAAGACGTGTATGAGAATCTAGCGGCGCGGAAATATAAGGTCGGTAATCTTGCTCCCTTCCGCCGAGACCTTGGGGTAAATTTCAGACTTTTCGCTGCGGATACTCAAATCAAACAAGAGCTAGCTAAAGCATGGTACGAAGCGACGAGGTTCTCTACCGAAGATGCCAGCACCATCGATTCTTGCCTCTCTCAGCTCGAATGGAGTGCTGCTCTAGTGGGTAAGCCACTTGACTTGGTCCTAAACGTCGAAATCTACATACCTGTTCTATACGCCCGAGACACTGCCGAAGAGATCCTCGACTTGCAAAGGCTTGGGTCCCTACTCCAGCTCAAAGAACGTTCGACCATTACGATCACTCTGGAAGGACACAACAACGAATCCAGATCCTTAGACGTGATTCGCACCGACGCGGAAGATTACGCGCAGAAAGTAGAGTGGTTGTTTTGGCCATTGGCATGCCTGAGACGTGCGGGATATAAGGTCATAGTAGCACCAATGTGGAACCGGACAGTCGTGTTTGGACCAGAGGACCTCACCTTGGAAAGAGTGACAACGATAATCCAAGCGGCTTTTGTTGAGTGGGATCCTTGATGGATTAGGGAAGTCTAGACCAGTTCTAAAGTTGCTTTTCGGGAATACTTCATTGATGCAACGATCCTGCGTCTATACCAATCGATCATCTCCTATAGATGGCTGAGTTCTCGGGGCCTTGCAGCTTCAGGTACCCGCAGAGCCGAAAGGTTTTGCTGTTGTGAGTATGGTGAGGGGCTCGCTGAACTTCGTCGCGTTAGGCCTAGGAATTCCGCTCAAAATGTATGCTGTTAGCAGCCTAATGGCACAAGATGACGCGTTTTGCAATTAGAGTGATGAACCTCCGTGGGCGTGGATGCTTCCCGACAAAGGTTCAAGTGGCGGGGCTTGCGCTAGCTCTGGAGAGTGCTAGCGGGTAAGTTTTGCCGAGGCACGATAGCGCCAGGGTTTCACTCTCGAAACGCGTCACATCTTCACTCACGTGCATCCTCCCGCCGTTCCCCGCGCACTCGTAATCCGACATCCTAGCAACATCTGTTGCAAGCAAGCAATGTTACAGAAATGTATCTTGCGCACTCTAGTGACTCCCAACATGAGCAGCACGACTCCTACGAAGACCACTCCGGCTGCGTTGCTTGAGCTTCGCGACACCCACAACTACCTAGGGAGTACACGCCAGCCAAGCTGATATTCTATTTCCAACGCGTAACTATGTTTAAACGAGGGCTGAAGCCTCATACCCAGTATGTTACAGTATCCATGTAGCAACTCTAGACGGTGGTTCCGACGCGTCTGGGTGCGGCTTGTTTTGCGCAATCGTTTCATCTCCGGCTTCACGATCAGGTTGCGTTTCAAGCTTCTACCCAAAAGTTCAAGACATCCTTATACAAAAACGAAACTGCAACCCATACTGTTCTTTTGCTCTCGTATCCTCATATCCCGTAATACCGAATCCACTTACAAACCACAGCCTATCATCATGAAGTCAGCTATTAGCCTGAGCTTGCTGGGAAGTGCGCTCGCATTGTCGAACGAGAAAGTCGGCTTTGTTGCACAACAGCCTCTCATACAAGATGCTTGCCCGTCGAATCACCTACTTGACAACGGCAAATGTCTACCATTGGCATACGGCAACTCGCCAGCATCAGTAGCATTCCAGTCCAACACCTCGGACCCCTCGCCTCACACAAACTCCCTAGAAGATGCCCGCGCGTTAGCTTCTCAAACAGAAAACTTCCCCTGGACATTCTGGCCAGAATGTTTCACCAACGAAAAAGTCGCAGAGCCCTACTGCGTCTTCAGCAAACAAGACTTCGCATCGGGGCGAGGCATCTTCATCGTCACCGCACGCACCTTCGCCTACGCTATGCTACAACAAGACGCATTCAAGCGCCCAGAAACCCTCGAGCGCATCAACCGTTACGAGAACCCACCATTCTACCAGCATGAATTCCCAGGAAAAGGAAGAGGCCTAGTCGCCAACAAGACCCTTCAGCGAGGCGACGAGATCTTCGCTTCTACGCCAATCCTCATCACAGACCCCGATCTATACGACCTACCCGAATCCGAGCGCCTTGCGCTGCTACATCGCGGTATAGACACGCTTCCGCAGTCAACGCAGTCATTGTTTTGGGAGCTCATGGGCCACACGCCCGATGCCGATGCGATAGATGATCGCATTACCACGAATAACTTCGAAGTCGCCATCGACGGCATCGCGCAATCCGCGCTTTTCCCTGAAATCGCCATGCTGAACCACGACTGCCGACCAAATGCCGCGTACTTCTTCGATGAAAAGACGCTGACGCACTACGTCCATGCCATCCGACCCATC